TCTCTCCCGCAGCCATAACGAACTGCCCCAGGCTGGGTGCCTTGGACCACACAAATGTATTGTCTTAGCGCTCCGGAGGCTGGAGGGCCAAGATCAAGGTGCCAGCAGATCTGGTTTCCTCTGAGGTCTCTCTCCTTGTCTTGCAGACGGCCTCCCTATTGCTGTGTCCTCACTTGTCTGGTGTCTCTTTGTGTGTCCAGATGACCTCTTCTTTTTTTTTTTTTTTAGATTATTTATTTGACAGACAGAAATCAGAAGTAGGCAGAGAGAGAGGAGGAAGCAGTCTCCCTGCTGAGCAGGGAGTCTGATGCGGGGCTCGATCCCAGGACCCTGGGATCATGACCTGAGCCGAAGGCAGAGGCTTTAACCCACTGAGCCACCCAGGTGCCCCCAGATGACCTCTTCTTATAAGGACCCCGGGAAGATTGGATAGAGCCCATCCTAATAGCTTCACGAACTTAATCACCTCTTTAAAGACTCTGTCTCCAAATTCAGCCACATTCTGAGGTCCTGAGGTTTACGGCTTTAACCTATGAGTTGCAGGAGGCTGCATTTTAGCCCGTAAGAGCGAGTGCCCCGCTCTTCGTTGTAAGGACACAGCTTTCCTCTGTAATGAGCAACTTACTATGGGGTGATGCTCTGAGGCTGTGTTTTCCCCACCGCGTTATTTCTAGGTCTTTCCAGGTAGCTTTTCTGGCTCGGTGTCAGTTTTGATTTCCAGGAGTTAGAACAGGAAATATCTAACAATAGGGGATGACCCAGCTCTGGTTGTGGATTCAGGATTTTTATTCCCATCTTTCAGAGCGGCAAACTGAGGCTCAGAGAGGGGAAGTTACTTGCTCAGGGGCACCCAGCAAGTTTGCTGTAGTAATTCCTAAGCACTCCTGTATACCTGGTACTTAATAATACCCATTCTACAGATAAGGATGGAACAGAGAGGTTTATCATGCAGATGGCCAGTCCTCGATCCTGGATTTGGTACCAGGTCTGGATTATTCTAAGACCTTGTGTGACGTCTTAGAGATGAGAAGGTTTCAGCCCTGCAGTTCTCATGAGTTCTGAGACTGTTGACTCTGAGCTTTTCTTAATCTCCTAACAGTGCAGTGGGAAGGTGGTTAAATGAATAGCTTTAACCTCATCTGACTCAGTGAAATTTATAGACAATATGACATCCGGCTACTCATAATCATCCCCAAATCCATCATGCCCTAACTTTATTTTTTTTAAAGATTTATTTATTTATTTGACAGACAGAGATCACAATTAGAAAGGCAGGCAGAGAGAGAGAGAGAGAGAGAGAGAGAGAGGAGGAAGCAGGCTCCCTGCTGAGCAGAGAGCCCGATTCGGGGCTCGATCCCAGGACCCTGAGATCGTGACCTGAGCTGAAGGCAGAGGCTTAACCCACTGAGCCACCCAGGCGCCCTGATCATGCCCTAACTTTAATATGAAATGAAAGGAAAATAATACAGCATAATAAGCATCTTTATTTCAATGTGTAAATGCTCCGACATGGCCCCAGGGAATCTTAATAAAAGTGGCAATTGCTTGGGACTTCGTGAATGCAGGGGTCCCAGAGACAGCCTAACCCATTGGGAGGGGGTATTTAATGAATCAAATGCTGTATGGCCAGGGTTACGGTTGGTGATGGGATCTTCCAAAGCGGCGAACAACCCTTAGTGTATACAAAATCCAGTCTTCCTTCAATTAACACGATGGCCCCAGTCCTGGAAAATTCAGTGTATTTTTAAATTATGGGAAAAAAGAGGGGCACCTGGGTGGCTCCGTCAGTTAAGCATCTGCCTTCGTCTCAGGTCATGATCCCAGGGTCTTGGGATGGAGTCCCGCATTCTCAGCGGGGAGCCTCCTCCCTATCTCTCTCTCTCTCTCTCTGCCTGCTGCTCCCACTGCTTGTGCTCACACACTCTCTCTCTGTCAAATAAATAAATAAATATCTTTTTTAAAATTATGGGTAAAAGGACTATGTATGTAAAATGGCTAGGATCTTGGCTCTGATCATTTTAAACAGGTTTGTCCCCGATGTGAGTGTTGGTGGGATGATCGAAGTCTTGCAGGACTTGTGTGGGACCGTCCCTGGTATTGCACGCTGTGTGGCATCTCTCGTCCTGGGTCCTGCCTACTGTGGGCTGTGGGTCCCCATCCCTGTGTCAACCCAAATCACCCCCCCAATATCCAAAACGCCCCCTAGAGGGCGATACTCCCCCACAGAGACGCACTCATCCGTTGTTTTTTGGTTTACTTATTTGTCTATGTGTAGGCAACGGCTTTAGAAATTCTTTTTTAGAAGAACTTCTAAAAGCCCTTTTAGAAGGGCTTTACAGGTTCTTTGATGCCAGCAGGTCCCTGTGGGGAACCCAGAAAAGCCAGGTGGATCTGGGCTGGGTCTGGTTTCTATCTGTTCCTGCTCGTGGCATAAATTCCTGCCCCAGGTGCCTTAACTAACTTTATTTTTTAAAAGAGAATCTGGTTGGGACATCTGGGTGGCTCTTCCGTTTAGGCAGCTGCCTTCAGCTCAGGCCATGATCCCAGGGTCCTGGGATTGAGTCCCACACTGGGCTCCTTGCTCAACGGGGAGCCTGCTTCAACCTCTCTCTCTGTGTCCCACTCACCCTGCTTGGGCTCTCTCTCTCCCTCTTTCTCTGACAAATAAATAAAAATTTTTTATTATAAATAAAAATTTTTTTATTAAAAATTTTATTTATTTATTCATGAGAGACAGAGAAAGAGAGAGAAGCAGAGGAATAAGGAGAAGCAGGCTCCCTGCTGAGTGAAGAACCCGAGACCCGGGGCTTGGTTGAGCCAAAGGCAGATGCTTAATAAGCTGAGCCACCCAAATAAATAAAATCTTAAAAAAAAAAAAGAATCGGAAATCTGGAATAACAGGATGTTTCATACTTTCTATTTTTATTTTTTAAAGATTTTAATTTATTTGAGAGAGAGAGAGAATGGGGATTGGGGGATGGAAAGAGGGAGAAGCAGGCCCCCAGCTGAGCAGGGAGCATGACACAGGGCTGGATCCCAGGACCCTGGGATCATGACCTGAGCTGAAGGCAGACGTTTAATGGACTAAGTCACCCGGGAGCCCCCCCCCTTTTTTTAAAGATTTATTTATTTATTTGAGAGAGAGAGAGAGAGAGAGAGAAACTTTAGCAGACTCAGAGCTAAGCAGGGAGGACAAGGCGGGGCTTGATCCTATGACCCCGAGATCCCAACCTGAGATGAAACCAAGAGTGGGAGGCTTAGAGGACTGGACACCACCCAGGCGTCCCTGTCTCATACTTTTTAAGTGCAGGCTCCAAATTTTTCCCAAATTTGAACAAAAATGTCATCTCTTTTTGTAGTTTTAAAAAAAAGTTTTCTTGAGCTATTGTGTATATATGCAAAATTGCACATACTTAATGCATCCGGTTTAATGAGTTTGGACGAAACATTTTTTAATTAAAAAAAAAATGGGGGGCGCCTGGGTGGCTCAGTGGGTTGAAGCCTCTGCCTTCAGCTCGGGTCATGATCCCAGAGTCCTGGGATCAAGCCCCACATCGGGCTCTCTGCTCAAGCAGGGAAACTGCTTCCTCCTCTCTCTCTCTCTGCCTGCCTCTCTGCCTACTTGTGATCTCTGTCAAATAAATAAATAAAAATCTTAAAAAAAAAAAGGGAAGAACAGTACAATGAGCACCTGTGTGCCCTTAACCTGTATCTGCCAATTGTCGTTTTGCTACCTTCGCTGTCTGTCACACTCCTCTGTCCAAACGCACGCGCGTGCACGCACATACAGATATGCGCACACCTTGTTTTTGCTAAACTATTTGCACGTGTGTCGTCAATATCACATTACTTCCCTGCGGGATAGTGGGATAGCGGGATAGTGGGATAGCGGGATAGTAGGATAGCGGTCACCTCCTGCGAATAAGCTTCCACGTGGTGACAATATTATTAGTATCCTCAGGAAAACTAACAATATCCCATTGTATCATCCAATGTGTTACATTTCCTAGTTGTCCCCCAAATATCCGGTGGCTTCTTCCTCCTCAATCCAGGATCCGGTTAAGGAGCCTACATTGCATTCGGTTGTCATGTCTCTCTGGTCTCCCCCCAACACGCGCTTTTTTTTTTTTTAATCAAGTTGCAATTGATCAAATCTTACGTGTACAGCTCTCTACATTTTTGTATACGTATACACCATGTGATTACCAGCCAGGTCAAAAGATATTATTTGTTCGATTTTCACCGAAATATGATGCCCATCTTTTTATTGTCTTTTGCGACACTGATTTTTTTTCACCTGATGACCGTGATTTGGGCTCATTTGAGGAATCACGGTGAGATTCGGGTGACATACTCCTGGAGGGCTGTCACAGAAGTGAGGTCGTGCCTTCCCAGGGCACCCGGTCAGACTCCCCAGGTCATCTGGGCCCAGTATTGGTGATGCTGCCCTTGGTCACCTGATTTAGGTGGTGTCCAGTGGGTTTTCCGCTGTGAAGGTGCTTTCCTTCCCCAGTCATTAGTAAGTTCTCTGTGGGCAGTACTCGAAGACCCTGTGTGCATCTAAGGTTTTAAAAACTCATAGTGGCTGTGATGCCCTAGTGGCTCAGTCATTAAGCATCTGCCTTCGGCTCCAGTTAGCTCAGGGTCCTGGGATCGAGCCCCATATCGGGCTCCCTGCTTCTCCCTCTCCACTCCCCCGGCTTGTGTTCCCTCTCTCGCTGTGTCTGTCTGTGTCAGATAAATAAATAAAATCTTTAAAAAACAAAACAAAACTCATAGTGGCCAAAGAAAGCACACCGGCGGGGCAGCTCTCATGTTATGAGGCCCCAGACCAGCAGCCAGAGAAGCCTTTGGTTTAGGATCTCAGAAGGGTCTTAAGCAAACCCCCTTCCATCATCCTGGGGGAGAAGCTTGGAGAGCTATTGAAGGAGGCCCCAGGGAGTTTGGATGGGTGCAGGTGTCTGCCAGGGGACTCCAAAAATGCACCTGTCTCCCTGCAGCTCCGGGATTGTGGAGGGCTTCGGGAGGTGGAGGTGACCGCCTGCCTGGTGTGGAAGGACTGGCCTCACCGAGTCCACCCCCACAGCCTCGTGGGGAAAGACTGCACCGACGGCGTCTGCAGGGTGAGGCTACGGCCTCATGTCAGCCCTCGGCACAGGTACTTGACCCCTGATTCCTCCCCCAACCCTTCACCCCAGGTCACGGAGGTGCCCAGGGAGACCTTAGGGCAAGGGGCCACTTGGCCAGATTCTCCCCACTGCATTTCCTCGGTGGGGAGACCAAGGCTGGGCCCGGCAGCGGGGTGGAGGGGCGTGCCTGGGCCTGGGGCCCTGCTGCACCCACCTTCACACACAGTTGTATTTATGCCCATTTTGTCGAGGCGGAAACTGAGACTTGGAGGAATGGCAGAGCAGGTATTGACTCCAGACCTGACTTCACTGCAAGATCATTCTTTCTCTCGCTTGACAATTTATATGTTTTTAATAAATAAAAAAATAAAAGGTTCAGAAAGACTGTGCAGTGAAAAGCAAATTTCCTTCCACCTTTGGTCGTGCAGCTATCAGTGGTCCTTCCTGGAGGCAATTAAAAATATGCTATGCATGTCTATTTTTTTCTCCCCTTACAAATGGTAGCAGACATTTGTACCTCGTTTTTAAGTTCCAGTATATCTTGGAGATCATTCCTATAAGCATTTTGAGCTCATCCTTTTTCTTGGCTTCATAGTATTCCAGTATACAGCTGTACACCATTACTTGAATAAGCCCCCTAGTAATGGGCCCTCAGGATAGTTCTGTGCTCCTGTGGCCCTATTACTAAATGCGTGGCTTTACATATATATCATTTCTTCTCTAGGATCAATTCCTAGAGGCAAATTCGCTGGCTCTAACTTCAGCGATTAACTCTCACTGTAAACTTTCTGTGATTTAAAAATTTAGCAAAGCTGTAAGGTCCATGAGAGGAGGGATCTTGTCTCTCTTGTTCCCCGCTGTGTCCCCCCTGGGTCCCCCCCACACGCTGTCGAGCACCCAGTAGGTGCTCAGGAAATATTGTGGAATGAATGAATGCCGCCATATTGTCCGCCATATTGTCCTCAGTGTAATTGCCGATTACGTTAACAGTCCCACCCGCTATGGGTGAGAGTGCTGGATTCTTTACAACTTCCCCAGTAGGGAGCGTTCTCAGATGTTTTGATCCTTGCTGTGTTGATGGGCTTTTTTAAAAGTTGGCATCGCAGTGATGTTTCCTTTGCCGCTTTCTCACTCTAAAGGAGGCGGCCCCATGTTTTCGTGCAGTAAAGATGAAGGGCACCCCCAGGTGCTCTCGAGACTCCCCAACACTCCTGAGAGGTCGAAACCCCAGGCCCCTCCCAATGCTGGGGCCCCTGAGACTGTGAGCCCCGAGGCAGCCTCTCTGCTGGAGTTAGGGCTAGACCTGCCTCTTCGTGACTGCCTCCCTTCACCCATTCCTCCGCGCTCCCCGTTCAGCTTTAACAATCTGGGCATCCAGTGTGTGAGGAAGAAGGAGATTGAGGCCGCCATCGAGCGCAAGATTCAGCTGGGCATCGACCCTTACAATGGTGAGGCCCTGAAACCAGCCTGTCTTGTCCTCCTGAACCCCTTCGTGCCCTCTGCCGCCCCATTTCCCCCGCTTCTCTCTGCTTCTCTCTTCTCCAGTATCCGCTATCTCCCCAAGCCCCTCCCTTCATTGTCTGCCGTCTCCCGGCCAGAGTCTCCCTCCCCCACCCTCAGCATCCCCATATCTCTCCTGTAGCCGGCTCCCTGAAGAACCATCAGGAGGTAGACATGAATGTCGTGAGGATCTGCTTCCAGGCCTCATACAGGGACCAGCAAGGACAGATGCGCCGCATGGACCCCGTGCTCTCTGAGCCTGTCTATGACAAGAGTGAGTCTGGGGTGCGGGGCGTATCAGGGTTATTGTTGGCCACAGGTCCTGGAAAGGCCCACGTACGATGGCATGGACAAACAGGCTGTATGGAGTGCAGGCTGTGCACTGCCCAAGTCCAGTGGTCAGCATTTATTAGGTGGTCTATGGAAACGAGGTCTTCTCATATTGTAGAGTGCACAATCTGTACCACTACACTAGGCAAGTCTAGGGAAGAGGCAACTTGAGTAGTAATAATTTTCTCTTCTATACAGAATATAATGTATTCCCCAGAATCTCCCCTCTCCCCCAGTAGACTTCTGCTTATGTCTCATTGGCCAGAACTTGGTCTCATGGTGGCCCCTAGTTGCAGGGGAGTCTGGGAAAGCAAATATTTAGGGTTTCCATCTTCTACAGAGGGATATGGGTATGAAAGAGGAGATTGGGAATGGCTGTTAGGTTTTAGTGCCTGCGGTGACTGCCATAAATATCAAAATGGGAAGAAAAATTAATCCAGTCAGGTGGGTGCAAATGACAGAATTCCAATTCAAAAGAGCTGAAGGAGAAAAAAAAAACAAAACCAACCAGTTTGTTTGTTCCATTAACTTAAAGGGTCTGAGGTAGTAAAGTGCTTCAGGTCTGGCTGTATCTAGGTGCTCAATGATATCATTAAGGATCTCTTTCCATCTTTCAGCTATACTTCTTCAAGTTAGAGTCATTTTTGGCACAGCCCATCCATGGTGGGGACAAAATGACTGTATGCAGCTCTAGGCTTATATCCTACCAGCTTGGAACCTCTTCCCCATGCCCGAAGAGAGTTTCCTTTACCCAGTATTTTTGGCTGGAGTCTCAGGGCTGTTTCTCGTTGGCCTGGTTTGGGTCATGTGCTCCTCTGTGACCAATCAGCTATGGTCAGGTGGAGGCAATGCTCTAATTGGCCAGGTTTGGGGCATGTGATCACTGCTGAGCTAGAGAGTGGATTCCGCCCTATCCAGTCCCCAGGACTGAAATGGGATGGGGAGGCGGTTTCCCAGAAGGGAACTAGAGGGGCTGTTACAGAAGATGGTCTGGGATTGCTAGATGGGCGAAAACCGCGGGTTTCCACTACGGATTTCAGGCCATTAATCCTTGTCTACGAATGGTCTTGATCCCTGACCCCACCAACTCTCCTCTGAGGGCTGATGGCTTCCCTTTGGGCCCTCAGCCTGCAGGACTCCCGACTGTCCATCAACTCTTCTGTCTGAGCATCTTCTCTCTCTCCCCAGACCGGGTCCCAGGTCGATCAGACGCCCCCGCCCCCGGCTTCTGCATTTCTCATCTCTGCATGGCGCCCGGTGGGCACCCATGGGGTACCTGCTGAGGGTTTGATGACTGAATTCTCGTCCTTTCTTATATACCACTAATTCTGGCACTTGCAGAGTCCACAAACACGTCAGAGCTGCGGATTTGCCGAATCAACAAGGAGAGCGGGCCGTGCACGGGTGGCGAGGAGCTCTACCTGCTGTGTGACAAGGTGCAGAAAGGTGAGGGACCTAGGACAGCGCATGGGCAGAATACCATAGAATGGCTTGCCCTGCATGGGGGAGCCAGGAAGCCCGGAGGTGGGAGCATGAGGTGGAGCTGGTTAACAGGGGTGGTGCAGTGGAAGGATCCAGAACTCTGGTTTGGGAGTCAGACTGCAAACAGCCCATCGGTTCATTCACTCACGGAGCTGCTCACTCCCTGGTTCGTGTACAAAGATGCAGAGCTGTGTGTGCTGGCCATGCCGGGTGCCAGGCACCGACTCCCGGGACCCTGACCTTAAAATCTTGGAGTCCTGTAAATAAATTCTTAATGGGGGCTGGATGAGGGCTACCGATGAAGAAAATGGAGACTGGAGAAGTATCTCTTCCATTCACGTCTATTCAAATGTCCCTTCTTCAAATAAGATTTTAAAAAAATAGGTGTGGGCACCTCTGCAGCTCAGTCGGTTACACCTCTGACTCTTGGTTGCAGCTCAGGTCTTGACCTCAGGGTTGTGCATTCAAGCCCAGTGCTGGCAAAAGCAAAAAGCCAACAGTAGGTGCACACAAGCATTGCCTGGCTGGAGAGAGCTTTCCCTCTTACTGTATATATATTTTCTGTATCCTCTCCATTTTTTATTCTGTGACTCTGTTATGAATAATGTCACCACCTAATGATCTAACCTAAGAGATCTAACATGTCTCTTCCTTTTCCTGTGTGCCAAGCTCTGTTATAAGCACTTTCTACACTTCACTTGTTAGCTCGTATGATTGCCTAACAGTTCTATAAGGTAGATCCAATTATTACCTCTCTTTTAGAGAGGAGGAAACTAAGGCACAGAAAGGTTAAGTAACCTGCACCAGGTCACACAACTAGGCAGGAAGAGTACACTCGCAGTGTTGTAGCACCGCTAACTTCCTAGTTCCAGAACGTTTTCATCATCCAGAGAGAAACCCCGAACTCCATTCTGCTGTATAAGCAGTCACGCCACCATCTTCCCTCCTCTAGCCCCTGACAACCACTGATCTGTTTCTGCCTGCGGATTTGCCTCTTCTGGGCATTTCATGTAAATGGAATCCTACACTAGGTGGCCTTGCGTGGCTGGCTTCTTTCACGTGATAGTACAGATCAGTGCATCATTCCTTTTTATGGCGGGATGATACTCCATCGTATGGATATTGGATTTGTTTATCCATTCATAAGCTGGTGGACATTTGGGTGGTTTCCATCTTTTGGCTGTCATGAAGTGTTGCTACAAGCATTCGTACATTCGTGTGTAAGTTTTTGTTTGATCACCTGTCTTCAGTCCTCTTGGATATATGCCCAGGAGTGGGAGAGAGATTCTTATAAAATTTTGAGTGAATGAGCACCTGGAGGGTGAGTGGTTCCTCTGTGCTGGGCCCTTGTGTTAGGCAGTGCTGCGACACAGTGATGACAGAGACGAGCCCGGGCTCTGCTCCCACAGGGCTCCCAGTTTAGTGTGGGGGGCGGGGGTAGGGAAAGAAACATGAATTACAAGTGTGAGTTCTGCTGAGAGGGAAAAAGACTGAGTACGAAGACTGGACAGAAACACTAAGACAGTAGGAAGACCAGGTAGGGGCTGGGCATCTTGGAAGGCTTCCCAGAGGTGGTGATATTTCAGCCAAGATCTGAGGAATGCCAAGAAGATTGTTAGGATCCTGGGAGCTGGGGGGGAGGGCAGGGAAGCTGTTCCACGTGTGTGTGAACAACTAGAAGCAGCTGTGAGTCCTGTTCCATTTTTTTGTTCATTGGCCGGCCTTGGGCTGGTGACTTCACCACCCCGAGCCTCTGTTTCCTTATCCCTTTATGAGTTGGTGTTAGGATGAGACAGGATCTCACTTACCCAAGAACTACACTGCAAAGAATTAGCATATACTGAGAATTTCTGAGTGCCAAGCCTGAAGCTAGGACTTTGCATAATCCTAATAAAAGCAATCATACTTAACGTGGGCTGAGCACCTTTACCTGGAGTGATTCTGTTAATCCTTCTAGCAAGCCTGTGAGATAGGTGTGCTGACTTTGTTTCTGTTTAGGTGAGGAAACTAGACACAGAGATATTAGGTTACTTCCCCAAGCCCTTAGGATCTGGTGGCGAGGAGCTCTAGCCCACCTGGATTCCCATCTTGGCTCCACCACATATTGGCTTTGTGACCTTGGACGAGTGCCTTCATGTCTCTGTGCCTTTGCTTCGTCCTCTATATAATGGGTTTCCTAAAGGTACTTTTTTTCATAAGATTGTTGTGTGACTTAGAGGCAATCTGTGTATGCGTGATATATATAAAGCCTCTGTAGATGAAATTAGTGTGATGAGAGGCAATGCAATAAGACAAGAAAAAGAAATAACAGGCAGAATAGCATACTGCATCCTGACTATTCTGCTACCAGCTGTGTGACCTTGGGTAAGTCTCTTTCCTCTTCCATGCCTCACTTTCCACATGTTTAAAATGGGCGTGTCAAAGAGTTAATATAGCGGGTCTGAGACTGTTATCCTTTGAAAGGCCTGCTTACAAGGTTGACTCTTGGCTGGCTTTTGAGAACTTGGATTTTGAGAGGACTCCCACTATCCCCTGACTGATGAGAGGGACTCATGGTGCTTAAACTGTTTGTATGGGCAACGTGGTTTGCGCTGAACACCGGCTCTGCTTCTGGAAGCCTGAAATTTTGATATATGCCAGGCAGAGAGTGCCTATATAATCAGCCACCAATAAAAACTCTGGGAACTGAGTCTCCAGTGAGCTTCCCTGATAGCTAGCATTTCCCGTGTGTGGTCATAGTTTGTTACTGGGGGGCGGGGGATTAGCATGTTCTCTGTGACTCCACGGGGAGAGGACTCTTGGAAGCTCATGCAGGCATCCTTTCCTTTACTGAGGTTACTAGTATCTTTTTGCCAAAGTAAATCATAGCATGAATATGACTATATGCTGAGTCCCATGAGTGCCCTTAGTGAATCACTAAATCTGATGGTGGGGAACGTCTGACGTGGTGAGGATATTAACTCTACCTGCCTCTCAGGTTAGTAAAAGGTTTGAATGAGACAATATATAAAACTATATAAAATACTTAGTGACTGGCACACAGTGGGTGCTCAACAAGAGGTTAGCTGCTGCTATGATTAGTTTAATTAATTTATTTTTTTAAGATTTATTTATTTTAGAGGGGCACTTGAGTGGCTCAGTCGGTTAAGCATATGACTCTTGGTTTCAGCCCAGGTCATGATCTCAGGGTCATGAGATGGAGCCCCCATTGGGCTTCGTGCCCAGTGGGCAGTCTGCTTGAGGCTCTCTTCCTGTCCCTCTGCCCCTCCCCCTTCCTGGCGCACACATTCTTTTTTTTTTTAATTTATTTCTTTATTTGATACAGAGAGAGATCACAAGTAGGTAGAGGCAGGCAGAGAGAGGGGGAAGCAGGCTCCCTGCTGAGCAGAGAGCCGGATGTGGGGCTCGATCCCAGGACCCTGAGATTATGACCTGAGCTGAAGGCTGAGGCTTAACCCACTGAGTCACCCAGGCGCCCATGCGCACGCATTCTTTCTTTCTCTCTAAAATAAAATAAATAAAATCTTAAAAAACATTTATTTTAGAGAGAGCGAGCGTGTGCACACATGCACTTGAGTTGGGGAGGGGCAGAGGGAAAGGGAGAAAATTCTAAGCAGACTCCCCGCTGGGCACGGAGCCCAATGGGGGGCTCCATCTCATGACCCTGAGATTATGACCTGAGCCAAAACCAAGAGTCAGGGTGCCCCTCTGATTAGTTTTAGTGTTAAGAATATCAACATTGGGGGTGCCTTGCTGTTTCAGTTGGTAGAACGTGCAAGTTTTGATCTTGGAGTTGTGAGTTCAAGCCCCATGTTGGGCATGGAGCTCTCTTAAAATCAAATGTATTTACACTTCATATATATATATATATATATATATATATATATATATTTTTTTTTTTTTTAGAGAATATCAGTATTGATTTGGGGGGAGGCTGACTGAGTTGGGGGCCTGGTGGGCCAGCATCCTGGCTCAGCTGATGTCCCCACTTTCCCGCCAGAGGATATATCGGTGGTGTTTAGCAGGGCCTCCTGGGAAGGCCGGGCTGACTTCTCCCAGGCCGATGTGCACCGCCAGATTGCCATTGTGTTCAAGACACCACCCTATGAGGACCTGGAAATCGTTGAGCCTGTGACCGTGAACGTCTTCCTGCAGCGGCTTACTGACGGGGTCTGCAGTGAGCCTCTGCCCTTCACGTACCTGCCTCGGGACCATGGTAACCACAGCAATCCAGGGTGACCCGCTGCCCAGAGACCACGTCTTTGGCCTAGAGGGGACAGGGGAAGAAGAGACAGAAGTAAAACACAGCCTCGTGACTGCACCGACTGGGGTTCGGTTCCTGGCTCCCCCTCTTACTGGTTGTGTGTCCTTGGTCTCTCCCTGAACCTCAGTCTCCTCTTGCACAAAGTGGAAGTAATAGTACCTATCTGATGGCATTTGGGGAGTATTTGATTATTTCTTCCCTCAGCATGCCTGCTCATGCCCGACCCTGTACTGGGTGGTTCTAGGACACTGCAGTGACCCAAGATGGCCCCAGCCTCACCCTCATAAGTCTCACAGTCCTATAGTGGGGATGGAATTGCTCAGGGGATTTAGATTGCTCAGAGGGGGCATTTGACACAGGCTTTGAGGTTAGGGAGGGCTTCCTGGAGGAGGGGACGGTTGAGCTGAGAATGTGGGGTTGACTAAGCAGTTCTCCAGGGGAAGTAATGGGAGTTCGGAAATAGGGTTTCAAGCTGCTGGAGTAGCAAGTGCAAAGGTCCTGAGGCAGGATCATGCTGCAGTGTCCCAGGAACAACACAGAAGTGGATTTGGGTTGCATTCTGATTAAGATGTGGATATCTATTTGCATTAGTTGGCCAAGAACTAGAACAGCTCAATGACTTCCTAAGCAGTCTCTATAATTAAGTCTTAATTATTATTGTTGATGGATAACATCGCCCCTGTTATCTCCTGAACAGACAGTTATGGCGTGGACAAGAAGCGGAAACGGGGGATACCTGACGTCCTCGGGGAGCTGAAGAGCTCCGGTGTGTCCCCTCTGCCCCTTTCCACACCCATCTCCTGGTTCCTGGGAGGGGATGGCTAAGCCCTAGTCTGGGGAGGAAGGGCCGCGAGGGTCCAGGGGTCCTCATCTCTGCCTTCCCTCAGACCCCCATGGCATCGAGAGCAAACGGCGGAAGAAAAAGCCAGCCTTCCTGGATCATTTCCTGCCCAACCCCAGCTCAGGTGGGTCACAGCGCAGGTGGGTCCCCGCCGAGGGCAAGCTCCTGCTCTCTGAAGTGGGATGAGTGTGAGCTGCAGCCCTGCTTTTGTCCTCTTTGGGAGCTCCCCAAAAACTCCCCTAAGGTCAGGAACTGACATCTCAGGCAGCAGCATGAAGTAGAAAGAAGAACAGCTCTGGATACCATCAGGAGGCTCTGACCTCTGCCAGGCTGTTCACTGGCTGTGTGACCCCCACCAAGTTGCTCCACCTCTCCGAGCCTCAGCTGCTCCCCTGAAAAGTTTCACCATAGACCTTCCTCATTGACCTTTCAGATTTTAATGCATTTATTTTTACAGACACCATATCACCGGCACGTAAGTGCGCTGTATAGGTCTACTCGTTGAATCGAAATCGTATCACCCCCCCCATTTTACTGGTGAAGAAACTGAGGCCCAGAAAGGTGAAGTTTCTCAGCTGAGGTCGCCGCATGTGCGGTGAAGCAGGGAGCTGTACCCGGGCAGCTGTACAGACGAGTGATGAAACACTACGTAGAGCAGGTAGCAGGGAGTGGATGGTAGATAAACGGGATGGGTTGGCAGAGCCAGCCAACCTTAATCCAGAGCCTGTCTCTAGCCCAACCACCCTCCCGGTATGTTCTCCCTGTGCCTTCATCTCAACTCACACGCCAGCCTCCACTTCCTGGAAACTGCAGCCCTATCTGGCTGTGATCATAAGCCTCCCCACTGACTGACCACTGGCTCTAAGAACACTCCCCCTAAGAATCCAGCTACCCCAGGGCGCCTAGCTCTCCCACTGACCTCCGACAGCCAACCGCTCAGAGTCTGCTGAGCCTGGACCACTCCAGCCAGTCCCACCCTGGAGGTTTCAGGGATCACCCGTTGTTCCCCCTACCCACTGCCCCTGGTAACCACTGCTCAGAGCCCCACCCATAGCAACCACCAATCCTAGCCTGCTTTGCCAGCCTTCCATCCCCTATTCCCAAAGCCTCTCCCCATTAGCCATCTGCCATTCATCTACCTCCTCCATCACCCCAACTTTCCAGTGCCTAAAGGCCCCCCTCCCCAATCCTTGGGACAAAGCTGCTCTGGCATGATAGCATAATGGTTAGGAGCATGGCCTCTGGAATTAGACTGAGTTTGGATTCTGAGGCCTGAATTTAGCCACTGTGGGATCTCTTTGGGATCTCATCTCTCAGATGGAAACCTTACCTCTTAGGGTCCTTTTTAGAATTTAGTGAGGTCGTATCACACAGTTAGTTAGCATAGTGGCTGGCACAGAGTTAGTGCTCAGGAGATCTTAGGAACTTGACAGACAAGAACGCCACCTGTGTTTGTTACGGTCATGTTTAGCTGTATTCGTTGCAAACCCCAAATTAACAGGGGCTTCAACAGGCTAGACTTTTACTTCTCTCAGGTAAACAGAGGTAGATAGTCCTGGGATGGTTTAGAGGCTGTTATGATCATCAGAGACCCAAGCATGCTTCTGCCATTTTCAACTCATAGTTTCCATCTCCTGGTCCAAGATTGCTGCCAAAGTTCTAGCCTTCAGGCCTGCGTTCAGGCAAGGAGCTTAGTCACATGACCACATTTAGCTCTAAGGGAGGCTGGGAAATAGAGTCCCTGGAGAAGAGACCCAGTTGCCCTGGGTCTCTTTCTGAGATAAGCATAAGACGCCTTCGCTGGTGAGGTTTGTCTTATCTCAGAGAAAGACTCTTGTCTATATATTTTAACACCTCCACATAATTTTACCTTCCAGTTTGGGGCCTGGTGACTTCTCATTTGGGTCTCCTGTGTGTGGGGATTTCATTTTTGGGGTGGTATCTATAATTTGGAGGAGGAGGGACTTTAGAGCCTCTTCAACTTCTTAATTTTTTGGAAAAACTTCCCAGCCCTGCTGGAGCATGTTTGGAACCCTGGTGCTACAACTGGCCAGCTATGTGTGACTGAATTATTTTGCCTCAGTTTGCTCATTAAAGGAGGATGGTGATAGTTCCTACCCTGGGGTTCTCCTTGGGATTAAAGGAGGCCACAGTGATAATGCATTTAGTACTGTCAGGGCACTGGACTTACTGCGTGTTGGAGTTAGCCCCCGAAGTTGCCGCTAAAGGCATCCTACTTCTTTTCTCTATTCATGCAGGCCCGTTCCTCCCGCCGTCAGCCCTGCTGCCGGACACAGACTTCTTCTCTGGCACCGTGTCCCTCCCCGGCCTGGAGCCCCCCGGTGGGCCGGACCTTCTGGATGACGGCTTTGCCTATGATGACGCCACGGCCCCCACACTTTTCACCATGCTGGACATGCTGCCCCCTGCACCGCCACTCGTCAGCGCTGTCACGGGCAATGGGGCTGCAGGGCCCGCAGTTGGAGATCCTTCCGGCCCCGAGCCAATGACGCTGGACTCATACCAGGCCCCAGGCCCCGGGGACGGGGGCACGGCCAGCCTTGTGGGCAGCAACATGTTCCCCAACCAGTACCGGGAGGTGGGCTTTGGGGGGAGGCCTCCTGTCTCCGGGGCCAGAGGCTACGTAGCCCCGAGGTGCTGGAGGAGAAGCACTAGGTGGGGAGGGAGGGAGGTGGAAGGGGCCGTGCAAACCCAGCCAGGATGTCCAGCACCTCCGTCCCCTTGGGCCACCGTTGGTCGGTCTTCCAACCTCCTCATTCTTCTGAATGGGACATCTTCAGCGTTGGTGAGAAGCTCCGCAGCACCGGTTTCCCCTGAGCCCATTTTACAAATGAGAAAACCGAGTCCGGAGAGGAAAAGGGGCTTGGCTCCCATGCACCAGCTTGTAAAGCTGCCTCAGTCCCCATGAGTGGGGGCACCTTCTCCAGGCGGATTCTGGAGTGTACATATGGGAGAAAGGTGCAGATCCTCGGCTTTCCTCCCCCGAGCTTGAAGGTGGGGGATAAAGGTTGTTTGTTCTGAGTCTTCCCAATAAAGATGAGTTTTTGAGCCTTGGGAGTCTTGTCTCTTCTCCGCTGGGTAAGGTCCAGGGCCCACACGCACTAAACCTCGGTGACCTCCTCGGCTCCACCTCTCCCAATCGCATCCTCCAGACCCCGCCCCTCCCCTCCCCTCCAGGGCCCGCCCTTCGCGTCGGCGGAAGCGCGCTTCGCACGTTCCGCCCCTCCCCTTCGCCCCCTACTTCCGCTTCCGGTGCGGGCCGCGCGCGAGCGCAGCGGTGGGAGGCGGCGACGAGCCGGTGAGTGCAAGCAGCGGGCCCAGACCTTCCTGGCTTTCGGGAGGCGTCAGCACAGCTTCGCCCTAGCCTCGGCCTTTCCCCGAGCTGCTTTGAGCCTCTGCGGAGCCCAAGCCCCGAGGGCCGCTGGCCCCGCAACCCCTCCGGCCTGCGGCGCTTCAGGCTGCGCGCCCCTGCCCTCGCGGTGGGCCCAAACTCGCCGCATCGGACCCCGCCGCTTACCACAGGCCCCGCCCCCTTGTCAAAACCCTTAGCCCGAACCTCGAGGCCCACACCCGGCCGGGGATCCCAGTCCAAACCCCAGGGCTCCGCCCCTGTCCGCAAGCCTTGCCCCTGAGCACAGCCCACCTCCTCCTGTCTGCCAGCTCCGCCTCCCTGATTCTCTACTCGGTTTCTCACCGCCCCATCTCCCCCCCGCCCCCGCCATTCAGATTTCTCTGATCTTTATTTACAGCACCTCCCCATGTTCCCCCAGCTCCCCCAAGCATTGTCGTCTTCCGTCCACGCCCTTCACCTGCCCTCCATCTCTACCCTCCCCCCATTCCCCCTCCTCCGCCCCATACCACTGCTCTGTTCCCTTCACTTGCATTCGTTCCTTACCCACACGGGTGTCCCCAGTTCCGCTCTTCTCCCTGACTTGAACTACAGCCCCACCTGCTTAGGACCTGCCTCGGGACCTTACTTCACTCACTCACTTCGAACATTCCAAAAGCTTTCAACCTTGATTCTAGTGCCCTGAATCCAGGACACTCCTTTCCCAGGGACACTCCTCACTCCAGAATATCCTGGGTGGGGGTGGGTTTCAGAAGCCCAAGGTACTGGATCAGAGTTGTCAGGAATTCGCTTCGGCATTTGGCACACAGTTCTTCAGCCTCACTTCCCTTCCCTGAAGCTGGTGTTCGGGATGGGCTCTGTCACCAGCTTAGTTGGGTGACTTTGATTATGCCTATATGGTTTTTACAACCCGTCTGACACTCCCCTCTCATCCCCCAGGTTGAGGCCCCCAGCTTGGCCTCACCACGATGTGGCACGAGGCTCGGAAGCATGAGCGGAAGCTTCGAGGCATGATGGTTGACTACAAGAAGAGGGCAGAGCGGCGGCGGGAGTACTATGAAAAGATCGTGAGTAACTGGCCTTGATCTGGGGTGGGACCTTCCCTGGAGGGCATCCTGGTGGGGTTTGGGCTTGGAAATGTGCCCAAACAAGAGCCCAGCTTTCCTCAGGAGAGTATTCGGTTCTTGAGCATAGCCATGGGTAAAAACCAGAGGCATTCTCTTGGTTCTAGGCTACTGTCTCGTTTGGTGTGGCCTCAGAGTACAGAGCTGGTGTTAGCAGGAAGGAGGGAAATTTTGTAACAGAGCAGTCCAGATAGGAGACTGACCGCCTCCTGAAGGTTGTCTGTCTTCCTGTTTTATTTGCAGTGCCCAGAAAAGCTTAGCTGTTGTTGAGGTTGGGCCTGGCGCCCTGTGGGAGTGCCATCAGTATTCATTTAAGGGGACTGTGACCACTTTCCTTTCCTGTTTGATGCTTCGGTTGCATTTAGAGAGAAGACCATACTCCATCCTGTGACCTAAAAGGCCCTTGTTGACCTGACCTCTACCAGCCTCTCAGTGTCATCCTTGGGTAGCTCCCTTGGCCCTTTTTCCCCATCCCTGTCACCATAGGGCATTGTGCCTGTCTTGTCTCCCCTCACCTCTTTAACTCCTACTTGCCCTTGAGACCTCAGCTGGAAATGGCACTAGTGTACCAGGTTCAATTTTCTTGCTAGATGATATTAATATAGGTGTTCCTATTTACTGCTGTATCACTGCTTTGCGCTCCTACCTGATCTCCTGGCCTTCATTCCAGCCCCTCTACAATCCGCCCTCTTCAGCAGGGCTAGGGAGGTTTTTTCTAAAGCACAAGGCTGACCCTGTCCTTTCCTTGCTCTGAACTCCTCCATGGCTCCCTAGTGCCCTCAATGGAAAGCCCAGGCTCTTCAACACATCCTTCAAGCCTCGCCATGGTCTGGCTTTTTGCATGCACACACACGCACTACTCACCCCTCCCCCGCATCTAGCCTCCTTGTTATCTAGAGTGACTTTCTCTAATGCAAAAGATGGATAAAGAGTATCAGTTTAGCTCTCAGAATTACATAGGCACAGGGCCTTTGCGTGAGCTCTTCCCATACCTGGGTAACTACGACTGCTCATCTCAGTCAGATCTCAGTCCTCAAGGAAGTCTTCCGTCATCCCCCATACTCAGTCAGGTGTCCCATGTAAATGCCATTACAGCTCCCTGTTCTTCTCCTTTGGAATTTAATACACATATATCTAGTTCTTTAAGACTGGGGACTAGTATTCAGGTCATCTTTGCATCCTAAGCTTGGGGCCAACAAATACAGTTTGAAAGAGTAAGTGAGTAAACTAATAGTGTAGTAGCAGTTACCATTTTAATTGCTCCTTCCAGGCACCTGGCTCTGTGAGAAGAGTTTTAGATGCGTGGTTTCTTGGAATCCTGAGAGTCCCCAGTGAAACAGAGGCTGCTATTACTATAGGAAACGAATCTCTGAGAGCATCTCACTTGCCCTCTGTCACCCAGAAAGGAACCACTGGGCTCAAGGCGAGCCCCACTCTGGTGGTGTTGGGAAAACTGCAGCATGACCGTGAGGGCAGGGCCCGGGTCTGGGCCCGTCCTAGTTGAGGCCCCAGCGTGGGCCAGGGAAACAGTGTCTAGGAGGAAAGGGCTGCCTTGAGCTATAAAGAGGGCTCATGGTGAGCTGGACCCAGTGCCCACTGCTTTGGGACTTCGGAGGCCTTCGAGCGGCCTTGAGAGGTTGTGACTGGTCTCCGTGTTAACGATGGTGCTGAGGAAATCAGCCAGTGCTACTGAGCATTTATGTGTTGACCGTTCTGTTCGGCAGACACTTGACAACTGAACCACCCAGGCGCCCCTCATGCCGGATTTAAGAAAGTTTTTAGATGTTTGCATCTAACACTTCCACTCATCCCACTGGCCAGAAAGTGGTCCCAGGCTCACGTATGGGTACAAAGGCGCCTGAGAGGCATAGGCTTTATCCTGGGTGGCCTTGTGCCACACATATCAGGAGCCTGTTACTGTTGAGGGAGGGGAAATAGTGGTTGGTTGCCAGCACCTGGTCTGCCTCAGATGGTGGGGGCCGCACGCCTCCCTCGCAGGGCGGCTCGATGAGATGGGGCACATCCAACCTCAGCGTAGGCCTGCCCGGGGTGACTTGCTCGGTGAATGCTGGCTCTGGTTGCCACTGAAGTTCTTCCTACCGGGTAAAGCGGGAATCTGTGTGGTGTGGAGGAAAGAAGACTGGAGCTGGGGCACTCTGGCTCTCGTTCTTGGTAGCTGGGAGCCTCCTGAGCTTTATTTTCCCCCTCGGGACAGTGGTGATCATGAGCCCCTCTCACTGGGTGACAGGGAGGACTGTCAAGAACAAGAGTGGTGTCTGTGGGGCGCTGTGTGGTGTGGGCCGGTACAAGCCGCCGCTGTCCCCGTGCAGGCGCGTGAGCAGCATGCAGAGTGGAGCTGTCAGGCTGCTGGCAGTGGCTGAAGGCTGCTTTGAGGAGGGGATGGGGTGGCTCACATGGGCCTCGTCGTCTTGACGGGAGAGGAGGCTGTGGGGCGAGCGTTGGAGAAGCCGAGGTAGTTCAGGGCAGGCTGAATGGGTGGTCCGCACAAGGCTGGCTTCCATCCTCCTGATTTGTCCTTGGTGCCAGCTCTCTCCCCTGGCTAAGCCTGGTTCTGTCGTTGCCCTTGTCAACTTTCTTCTTTAATCAGTGGTTTGGATAAAGAAACAATTTCCTGTTGATAAGAAAATGGGCAGTAAATAGTTCTCAGTTCAAGCCTGTCCTCGAGAAAACCCCAGGCTGACCCCCCCCAACCACTGCCCAGCCTGAGTCAGGCATTCCCCCCTGGGCTCTCCCATCGCAGCACTGCCCACTCTGGGTCATCACTATCCGGGGTGGGGGGAGTCTGTCCCCAGCTCTGGACTGTGAGCACTGAGAGTAGGGCTGGGGCTGTGTCCGTCACTGCCATGGCCCTAGCATGGGGCCTAGCATGTGGGTGCCTGTTTATCAGTCAAATGAATGAATGAAAGAGTCTGTGAACTCCTCTGACTCCGTCTGATCCTGGAGGCAGGATAGGCCAGTGGTTAAGAACGGACTTCGGGTGTCGCAGAGGTATTTGTACGTCCCATGTTCCCTGCCCTGTTACTCAAACTAGCCAAGATGGGGAAACAACCTAACTGCTCATCGACTGAAAAAGGGGTAGACGAGGTGGTTTGTCTGTATGGTGGGATATTGTTCAGCCTCGGAAAAAGGTATCCTGTCACATGCTGCCACGTGGAGGAGCAGTGGAGACATCATGCCCAGTGATGGCATGGCACCAAAAAAAAAAAAAAATGATGATGCAAGATACCACGTATAGGAGGTATCTGAAGTAGTCGTGCCCTTAGGAACAGGAAATAGAAGGGTGGTTGCTGGGGTGGGGGAGGAGAAAAGGGTAGTCCTTCACTGGCTGTGGAGTTTCAGTTTTGCAAGATGGAGAAGTTTTAGAGATCGGCCGCCCGGCAGGGTGCATGTACCTTGATGCGACCCTATGGTACCCTTAGCAGTGGCGAACGTATGGGGTGCCTGGGGGGCTTAGGCGGTCTGTTGAACATCTGCCTTCAGCTCAGGTCGTGATCCCGGGGTCCTGGGTTCAAACCCCGCGTGGGGCTCCCTGCTTAGGGAATCTGCTCCTGCCTCTGCCCGTGCTCTATTAGATAATCAAGTAAAATCTATTTATTTCTTTATTTATTTGACAGAGAGAGAGAGACTGTGAGAGGGAACACAAGCAGGGGGAGTGGGAGAGAGAGAAGCAGGCTTCCCGCTGAGCAGGGAGCCTGATGCAGGGCTCATTCGTAGGACCCTGGGATCATGACCTAAGCCAAAGGCAGATCTTTAACAACTGAGCCACGCAGGCGCCCTTAAATAAGATCTTTTAAAAAAAAAAAAAGTAGTTAACATAGTAGATTTTCTATCATATACTTTTCACCAAAGTTAAAAAAAAATTACTGAAAATAAACAAACAAACAATGGATTCCTATGGGGGTCAGGCCCATTTGGGTTCAAATCCTAATGGTGTGTGTTGCTGGCATGATTTCAAGCAAGTGGGCCACACTGCTCAGTTTCCTCTTCAGGAACACTGATCACCTTTGTCCTGTGCTTGAGAAGTTTGAGAAAATTTACAAAAAAACAGGTCAGGGCCTGGCTTTTAGGACAGTTCATTGGCTTTTCCAGAATCTTCCAGCAGAGCTAGGCCCTGGACATGGATTTTTACTCCTAGCCTGATGTATTTTCCTTCCTACAGTTGCTGGCACGGCCAGTGGCTTCCCTGTACCAGGCAGTGTCCGTATTGCAAGAAATGTCCCCCGAAAGCCATGGGACCTGGGCACTGGGCCGCTGCGGCCCCAGGGGCCTGAGGGAGTCTTGGCCAAGGGCTGTCACGGGGCTGAGGGAGGGAAGTGAGGTGTGGTACAAGCAGTTGGATTCCCGCAGCACCGCCCCTGCTGGACCCTGCGGATCCCCCTCAGCTGAGTGGGAACAGCCCAGCGCCTGGCGAGTGCGGGAGGGACACGGCGTTAGCTGTGGTCCTCTCTGCCTGTCCTCTGCTCTTTGCTGGTGGGTGGGGGAGGCATTGAGGACGTGCAGGGTTTTGGCAACTTGATGCTGGTGTGTTTGGGGTGGGGCTCAGGCTCCTCGTCTGTCAGGGTTCATTCTCTCTTCCCTTCAGCCCATGTTCCGGAGCACCTGCTGTGGGGCGGGTCTGCCCCGGGCACAGGGGGTACAGTGGTGAGCAGAGAGCAGCGATCCCTGTCTGTGGAAGTTACATTCTAGGGTGAGGGATGACTGATAAATGAATGGAAGATGGGAAATGGGGTGGTGGTGGGTGTTGTGAAGAGAGCAGGTAGGGTTAAGGAGAGTTTGGGAGTAAGTATGGGCTTGTGCAGGGAGCTACTTAGAGTTGGTGAGGAAGGTTCTAGAAAGAGATCTGAAATAAGCCAGAGGGCAGCCACCTGCCTGAGCTTTGCAGGCCAGGGGAGGAGTGAGCACAGAAGTTCCGAGTGGAGCATGAGTGCAGTGGCCCTGGAGTGGCGTGGAAGCCAGTGCCCCTGGGGCAGAGCTGGGAGAGAGGAGTCAGAGAGTGATGCGGCCTGACAGGTTTTAGCAGAAACCCCCCTGCTCAGGCCCTGTGTGGGAGATGAACTGCGGAGGGCGGGCTGGCAGGGGGAGCCCTAGAGGAGGCTGCCAAATGGCCTGGACGAGAGGACAGGCTGGCCGGACTAGGGCGTGGGGAGGAGGCCTTGGACCCTGGGGAGGCCTTGCCTGCAGCTTGGCCAGCTTTCAGTGGACGGCAGCAGTCCTTGTGGCTTTTGTGGGTTCCTCTGATGTGGCCCGCAGCAGGAACCCAGCCAGGGTCTGGGACTCAGCTCAGCCGTGGGGAGCACTGGTGGTAGATTTCATCCATTTCTGACGCGCCTGGAATTGTGAGCTCCACGCAAGGGCTTGGGCTGGAGGAGCATAGACTCGGGACATTGTCCTCTATGTTGGGGCCTTCTTAACAGCTTTATTTTTTTTAAAGATTTTATTTATTGGGGCGCCTGGGTGGCTCAGTTGGTGGCTGCCTTTGGCTCGGGTCATGATTCCAGGGTCCTGGGATTGAGTCCCGCATCGGGCTCTCTGCTCAGCAGAGATCCTGGTTCTCCCTCCCCCTCTGCCTGCCTCTCTGCTTACATGTGCTCTCTCTCTCTCTGCCAAATAAATAAATTATATCTTTAAAAAAAAAAAGATTTATTTATTTGACAGAGAAATCACAAGTAGGCAGAGAGGCAGGTAGAGAGAGTGGGAAGCAGGCTCCCCGCTGAGCAGAGAGCCTGATGCGGGGCTCGATCCCAGGACGAGATCATGACCTGAGTGGAAGGCAGAGGCTCAGCCACTGAGCCACCCAGGCGCCCCTCTTAACAGCTTTATTGAGATATCGTTCACCGAGTGTATGATTCAGGGGTTTTCAGAATATTCACAGCATGTGCATCCATCACCACAGCCCAATTTTAGAAAATTTCCATAACCCCAAAAAGAACTCCATTCCCATTAGCAGTCAGTCCCCCCAACTTTCCAGCCCTGGCCAGGCACTCATCCCTCTACTTTCTGTCTCTCTGGATTTGCCTGTTGTGGACGATTCTCAGAAATGGAGTCATACAGCACGGGGCCCTCTGTGACTGACCGCTTTCACTGAGCACCGTTTCCATGGTCCGTCCCTGTTGTAGCATGTGTCAGTTCCTCACTCCTTGTTATTGACAAGGTTCCGGGGTCTAAAACTGGCTCGTTTGGGTCATCGGCCATCCATTGATGGCCACGTGATTGTTTCCATCTTTCAGCCATGGTGAGTCGTGCTGCTTGAGTATCCGAGTACAAGTATTTGAATATCTGTTTTCGGTTCCTGCGGGTGTATCCCTAGGAGTGGAATTGCTGGGTCTTAGGGCGGTTCTTTGTTTAACCATTGAAGAACTCCGTTTCTGCACGTTCCTGTCAATACTGTTAACGTCTGTCCTTTTCAGTTTTTGCTGTCCTCGTGAGTGTGAAGTGGTGTCTCGTGGTTCCCATTGGCATTTCTCTGATCGTTAATGACCCTGATCATCTTAAAATGTGCTCACGTGGGCCCGGTGTTTTAGAGGCCGGGCTAAGCCAGAGGGCTCACGCGTGGCTCCGAATGAGTGACCTGGGGTTGGGGTGGGGAGGTGAAGTTTTGGGGGATCATATTTTGGGGGCAGAAGATCTTGGTACGTCTGTACAGAAGGTTGGGCCAGAGCTCAGAGCCTTTCTGTACCATCTCAAGGTCCCCCGTTCCTAGAGCTGAGATGGCCCCAGTGAGGGTGGCCACCCCCCTGCAGGTTAGTTTACCTCTGAGGCCCAGCCCACTTGACGGTCAGTGGTGAGCTCGCTGCTGATCTGGGTTGAGCTCCAGGGCTGGAGCTCAGCGCGGTGGTGACGTCTACCTTGTCTCTTCCCGCAGAAGAAGGACCCAGCACAGTTCCTGCAGGTGCACGGCCGAGCATGCAAGGTGCACCTGGACTCTGCAGTCGCCCTGGCCGCCGAGAGCCCCGTCAACATGTGAGGCCGAGAAGAAGGCCGGGATGGTGTCTGTGTCTCAGGGTTGGAGGCCAGGAGGGACTGGGGTGTGGAGAGCCGTGTGGGGACTCGGGCAAGGAAGGCTTGACCTGCATGAGGAGCTGACAGTGGTCAGGGAGGGCGGGCAGGGGTCGGGATGCAGCGTGCAGGGGTGCTCAGGGGACTTAGATGGGAGCGGGTGGGGCTGGGACCACAGGCCCAGATGAAGTGGCAAGTGTGTTTGCAGAGGGAATGTTTCAGGGTGACCAGGGCTTAGTGAGTGGCCCTGGGATCTGGTTTGAGTTTCCCACTTCTGCTTGGTTCTGAGAAATAGGGCCCCAAGTTTCCTGTTCAGGCCAGGAGCCTGAATGTGGATTCAGGGGGATTAGTGACATAAGAAACTGAGAAGTCAAGGGTGAGGTTGGGACCCATGGCCTGGAAAATCACAGGGAACTGAGGGCCGGGCTCCCAAGCTTATGTGGGCACTGGGGAACTTCAGCTCCTTGCTCCTCATTTCAGGATGCCCTGGCAGGGGGACACCAACAACATGATTGACCGCTTCGATGTCCGTGCCCACCTTGATCACATCCCCGACTACACGCCCCCTCTGCTTACCACCATGTAAGAGCTCCTCTAAGCCTTGCCAGGCAGCCTGAGCTACCTGCTGCCTCCTCTTTACCCAAGCCTTTGCTTGTCTGTCCCCTTCCTGGGAAGGAGGTGTGTCAGCGGGGAGCCTCCCAGCCTGAGCCAGGCTCCTCCTCCCCCACTCCTGCTGGCTTGGGGTGGGGCCTCCCCTTTTCCTCTGATCTCAAGACCTTGACATCCCCACAAGCTCCCCAGAACAGGAGTCAGATGAGCGGAAATGTAACTACGAGCGCTACCGAGGCCTGGTGCAGAACGACTTCGCTGGCAGTGAGTGAGCTGGGGCGTGGCGAGTGGGTTGGGCGTCCGTGGATGTGGGGAGACCGCTTTTACTCCAGTGCTTTCTCCTACGGGACCTGGGGTTTGCTCCCCGCTCTTTTCCTCTCAGGCCTCCATCTCTGGACCAGTACAGGTGTGTCTCCTGAGTGAGATGGTCCTGCGGAGGTCACTTCCGTATCCCACACCCTCTGCCTCTCTGGCCTTTTGTCCTAGAAAGTTAGGGAAGATAGCAGGAACACACTATTTCCCTCTGCGTGTTTCCCCCAGCCTGTTTGGGTCAGAATGTCATTTCTGAAGAGGAAATTTCTTTTAGGAATTGTTCAGGAATATTTAGAGTTTGGCAGTCTGCCAAACGTTTGTATGGGTTAGTGTTCTCTGAGCCGTCACCGTGTTGCTTCGCAAATGAGAAAACGGAGGCTCACAGTTTTCCCCACTCTGGGCTTGCCTAGGGAGTTTCAGAACCTGACAGACCTGGACCTTTTTGTCGGTGTTAAGTATCTCGTCACATCTGCACAGCCCCTAGTGGTCGCACCCATTTTATGGATGGGGGCATTGAGGCTCAGGAGTTGGTGGGAACATCGTGTCTGAGGATCTGGGATTCTCACCCCACCCTTAACCACTGCTGCCTCCTGATGGACAGCTCCGAACTTTAGCTCAGTCCTGAGAACTGAGACTTCCCTTCCCAGGGTTTCCCTGTTGAGTCAAAGAGAAGATGGGCCACATGAGGCCCTTAGCCTGGTGGGTCTCGCTCTCCTCCCAGAGAAGCGTGGTCATGATGGTTTCTGTCCCCCGGGATGGTTGTAAAGGTCCGGCGAGGGGGCGCGTGAATCTCCATCCCCGAGCCTGGCACGGTGAGCCCCTGCTGTGCGTTTGCAGTTCCCGCGTCTCTCTGTTTCGAAGATGACTGTCTTGGCATCTCTGATACCAAAGCTTGCCAAAATCCTAGCAACCAGCCAGGTGTTAGAATCAGGGAAGTTTATCGTCTTTGCTATTGGTGCTATTCTTGCCTTTACCCAGGCCTAAAGGGGTTCTTGGCCACGGAGCCAGGGGTTTCCTAAGTTCCGTCTGACTCCGCATTCGTTCCTTGCCACCGCTTCTGAGCGCCTGTGGTGTGATGGGCCCCCCCTTCCCAGGGTCGGCGGGCTCACTGGCGAGAGGGCAGCCGCCACATAGTCACCAGCATGGCTGGCGATCGCAGGCTGAGGTGGCGTTCTCACGGATGGTGGGCTCTTCTCTGAGGTGCTTGACGGAGGCTGGGGTTGGGGAAGAGTGGGGAGGCGCTCTTGTGAGGAGAGGGGGGCCGCAGAAGAGGCTGGTGGGAGGATGGGCACAGGCAGCCTGTGGGGCTGGAGCAGGGAGAAAGAGGCAGCTGGTGTGAGACGGGCCAGCTGGGCCCTGTCCCAGGCTTTGTATGCCCCGGCCGGAGTTGGGCGGGTGTAGGGGGTGCTGCGGGAGCAAGGCACTGTGCTCCCCACCCAGCCCTTCAGCCTGACTTCACAGATGGAAAAGCCGAGACCCGCAGAGGGAAGGGGACTTGCCCGAGGCCCCGCAGCTAGTCAGGTCCATGCGTTTCATTGCAGGGAAGATCAGGGAAGGCTCGGATACAGCGTCGAGCTCCCCATGTGAGGTGTTGTGGGTAAATGAGAGCCCAGATGGCTTCAAACACGTGTAGTTTAATCTGAGTCGCAGAGAGGCCTGTGGTGGAGGGGCCCCTGCAGTCCCGGTGACATCCGGCGCTCAGGAGAAGTTTGCAGGTCTGAAGCGTCTGGCCAGAGGCCTCCCTCACGGGGTTAATAGTCGCGTTGCTCCTGTGCCAAGAGCTCGCTCTTCCAGGGCTCCCCGTTTACAGAAAGGAAACAAGCCAGAGAGAACTTACTTGCTCCCCGGCACCCCCCCCGCCCCCGCCAGTCACCGCGGCTGCGCGGTGGGTCCTCCTGTGGTTGCTGTGTCCTCCACACGCCATCTGTAGTGCTGTGCCCGCCAGTGACTCTGTGCCTGGCTGAAGTGGGGTTGTACCTGCCCTCCTACCCCTCACTGCCTTCTTGTGTCGCTGCCTCCGCCCCCACTCTGACCCCCCTGCCTCTCCCCTTGCTGCAGTCTCGGAGGAGCAGTGTCTGTACCAGATCTACATTGACGAGCTGTACGGAGGCCTCCAGAGACCCAGTGAGGATGAGAAGAAGAAGTGAGTTGACGTCTGGGGGCATGAGGGCGTAGGGGGAGGCAGGGGGATGGTGAGCCCCGCCAGGGCACAGCCTCCTCCAGCTTATCCACCTCGGCTTTCCCATAGTCCGGACCAGCGTGTGGTCCATAGTAGGTGCTCACTTAATAAACACTTAGAGGAGGAAGTGGTGGCCGAGGGAGAGGATTTCCCAAGAAGCCTCTGTGTTGCATTTCTAGCTTGGGGTACGGTAGGAAGTGAAGTTGGTCGAGCCGGCCCTGGGGTGACCCAGGCCCGGGTTTGCATCCTGCCTGTGAGGACCCCCTTGCTGAGCTGCAGTGTGGCTAGCTGGCAACCCCCATTCCTGCAGTGGATGGAGCTTGTGGGTCGCCTGTCCTATGCCCGCCCTGCGTGGGCTCGTCTGCAGGCGGCGTCACTCTGGAGAGGGGGCGTCTCAGGGCTGTGTCCCTGGAGGAACAGCAGTGGGGGGGGTGACAGGCCTGTAGGTGGAGCCGCCTCTGGCTCAGGGAGGTCCCTGGCGGGCAGTCTCCCTTCTCTCTTTGTTCCTTCTGCCGGGGTGGCCCTGTCCTCCTCTGGGGCGGTGCTCAGCCCTCCTGTCCGTAGTAGTGCTGGAGCATGACTGTTTCCCTCCTGCTGCCCAGCCTTCCCCTTTGTGAGCCTGAGCTCTTGTTGCCCTCCTTCATCTGGGGTTTGCACGGATGCTGTGGAAGCTTCTCGATGACTGATGCCTACCCGTGAGCCCACTTTCAGGACGAGTCTGGCACTTGGGGGACGTCTGGGAACGTTGACTAAATTAATTTAGCAACATGCGTGCTTGAGGCTGCTCGTCTGTTCTGGGCAAAGCTGGGCCATACTGTTACCCAGGATAATTCTGGGTCTTGCCCTCTTGAGCTCAGTCTGCCAGGGGAAGAGATCTGTCCCCAGACGGTCATGACTCCATGTGGGTGCAGCTGAGGAGCTCAGGATGGTGCTTGACCCTGCCTAGGGGGACAGCTTCCTGGAGACCCTGGAGCTGGAGCTGGAGCTTAGAGGAAGATGGAGGGGCCAGTGCGAGGCAGGTGCAGAAGGTTCTAGGCTGAGGGAGAGCATGTGTGAGGGGCCAGAGGCAAGGGCGCCCTGGAGAGGCTAGAGGTCGGGGAGTCCATGTGCTCTCAAGTCTTGGCTCTGGGCTGCATCCTGCCTGGGGCCCTCCTGGCTCATGGGCTCCCCCGCCCCAGGCTGGCGGAGAAGAAGGCCTCCATTGGCTACACCTATGAAGACAGCACCGTGGCCGAGGTAGAGAAGGCGGCGGAGAAGCCGGAGGAGGAGGAGTCACCAGCCGAGGAGGAGAGCAACTCGGACGAAGATGAGGTCATCCCCGACATCGGTGGGGTCCCCTCTCTGCCCTCCCCAACCCCGCAGTCCCTGGGCATCGTTTTCGTGTCTCGTTCCTCACCCTCTGTGGGGCGCCCCACACTGACGAGCCCCGTCTCTCCCGTCCCTGCTCTGGGGCACTCCAGCCTCTGCCGTCCTCCCGGTCCTCACTAGTGTGCTCCTCTGTGCCGGCCTCCCTCTCTGTATCTCTCCTCTCTCATTTCTAGGACACTGCTTTTATGATATTGTCCCCACCTGGGTTCTGTCTCCGTTCTCTTCTGCTCGGGTCAGCCTTTCTATCTTCCTCTTTTTCTGTCTCCTCTGGAGAGCAAGTGTTCATTCAGTTGCAGAATCAGAATCACCCCCCACCACTGCCGTTCTCCCCCTACCCAAATACCCACGGCTCCAGCCATCCTCCTGTCTTCCCCGCCTCCTGTCAGCCCACTGCTGCTTATCACACATCTGGAAGGTATCCATTCTGCCTTCCACTTACTCATAGTGCATCTAGGTCCTGAACACCTGTGACCACCACCCCCCAACTCCTGCCCACCCTCACCCGCCCCTCAATCCGTCCCCATCCGCACATCGTACATCGCTCTGTCCACTGGTCTTGCCTGTCCATCCTGATGCTCACTTGGGCCCTCCTTCGTCATATCTTCTCTCCCCCAACCCCCCACCGCCCCTGCCATTGGTCGTGCTCCCCTCCGGCCAAGCCCTGTGCCAGCCTGGGGATGCCAAGATGAGCTGACTCACTCCCTGCCTCTAGAGGCCTCCAGTCTGGTGGGCATCTCCCCTGTGCCCCCATCTCCCGGGGCGCTGCCCCTTCTCCCTGGTCCTCTCGCTCGGCTTTGGCCTCTGACAGCGTTTCTCTTGGTGCAGACGTGGAGGTGGATGTGGACGAACTGAACCAGGAACAGGTGGCAGATCTCAACAAGCAGGCCACCACCTATGGCATGGCCGACGGCGACTTCGTCAGGTGAGGACTGCAGGCTGGCGCTCCTCCACGCTTGGGGCCTGGTGTCTGTCATTAACCCTGCTGTGGACGGCCGCCTCCCTCTTCAGCACGAGTGCTTCACACACACGGGCTCCTGAGCTCCTGGGATGGGTGCTGAGCACCAGGCTTTGCCGCTGCACAAACAGGCTGCGCCCAGCTCCATGTGTTTGTCCTGTGGCCCTCTGACCCCTAAGAGCTCCCGGGGCTCCTGGGCCTGGTGGACAGCACCCCCTGGTGGAGAGGAGGCTCCATTCACCGGCCCGTTCCCTGGGCCTACCTTGTGCAGATCCTATACAGCCGCCCCAGCGGACAGGGTGTCCAGTGTGAATCTGGAGGATCCTATCTGAACCCAGAACCCTCCATGAGGGCCCTGGCACTAGGGCAGCCGGAGTCCTTAGCTCGGTCACGAGGTGCTATCTGTCTGTTCTTCTGCTCCTCAGCCCACACGCTCTAGCCCCGCGCGGCCTCTGTGCCTTCTCCCTCCCGAGCCTCCTCTCTGCCCTCAGACTTCCCCACCGCTACCTGCCGCGGTGGCTCTGCTGGCGTCTGTGTTGCTTATTCCCTGTGGTTTCTCCTCAGTCCCCTGACCTTCTTGTGGAAAGCTGCAGCAACTCCACCCGTCCCCTGGTCCTTCTTCCCCCATCTGCAATGTATCTTCCCGGCCAGGTTTTCAGTGTTTAACTTACTACTTGTCACGTTGCCTGGGTCGTTATCTTCTTCCAGAACGTAGGCCCACGAGGGCCAGGATTTTTGTTTTCAGTAATGAATCCCCAGTCCGCACAGTAGCGCCTGCATGCAGTAGCTGCTCAGTAATAGCGCTGAACGAAGGAGAGACCCCAGGATGGCATGGGATCTCTGCCTTCCGGCGACAGTTCTGCCTGTGGCCTGCCCCCCCGTCCGTTGTGACCCCCCCCCCCTTCCTCTACAGGATGCTCCGGAAAGACAAGGAGGAGGCAGAGGCTATCAAGCATGCCAAGGCCCTTGAGGAAGAGAAGGCCATGTACTCGGTGAGGGCTGGGTCAGCGTGGGGAGTGGGGCGAGTGTGGCTCAGGGAGGCACGTCCCTCACCAGCGGGGTGTCCACCCTCCTCCAGGGCCGCCGCTCCCGGCGCCAGCGGAGGGAGTTCCGGGAGAAGCGACTGAGGGGCCGGAAGATCAGCCCACCCAGGTAGAGTGAGCTCTCCCCTCCACCCCTGCCCTTCCAGCCTCACTCAGGGCTCTGGGGGAGGGGCTGGGGTTCAAGGAGACTCTTTAGGGTCAGGCTTGGACTTGCGAACAGAGTCTTCCTGGTAGGGCAGGAAACGGGGAAGGTTTAGGGTAGGGATGGCCTTGTGGACACCCTGCCCTGCCAGCCACTCCCCTCACCCTTCTGGACTTGGACTCTTGCCAGGTGTCCCAGGCACCACTGGGGAGGTGGTGTGGGGTAGCTGAAGACTAGAGGGCAGAGTCAAGGGGAACAGCCCTGTCCCTGAAGTCCTTCCTGGTTCTCCTGGGCCATGTCCTTGTCAGATTTGGGGCAAGTGACTTCCCTCGAGTTTCAGTTTCCTCCTTTGGAAAAAGCACTGTGATCTCCAAGGATTGGGGCGCACCAGTGTCCACTTTGAGGTCTGGAGCAGGTTGGGAGGAGGTGGCCTGGTGTGGCACAGAGTCTGCCCAGGTCAAGCGGCCTCCAGACGAGCCTGCCTCTGCCTGTCAGCCCCGGAGGCTGAGTGCAAACTCATGCCTCTTTGCTCCCCCACCTCCGGGCAGGGAGAGTCCCTGAGGGTAGCTGTGGGCCTTAAGCAGCCTGGTGTGGGCTCAGGGCTTGGTGTGGGGTCCAGGAAAGCTGCACTGGTTGTTGGCATCGTCCTCCTCCCGGTAGGGGTAGTCAGTGTAGCACATAAAGGTGTGGGCTCGGCGCTGCAGGGCCTGGCTGGGGAGCCCAGCTCTTTGATTTATGAGCTGTGTGACACTGGGCAGGTGATTCTTCTGTTTTGGGCCTCGGTTTCTTGAGCTCTGAGCTGTGAATGACCCCGGAGAGTTGTCATGAAAAGCGGCTATGTTCATAGAAGTGAAGCACTCAGTGCCCGGCACGTAGTGAGCATCTGAGACACCGTGGCGCTTCTGGTTTTACCATCGCTCTCATGAACGAGCTGGGATCCAGGTTGCAGGACCAGGGACTTGGAGTGGCAGGAGGGATGCTGCCGTCTGGGGTTTAGAGCCCAAGCAGGACTCAGGCTGCTGGAGTCTCTGTTGCCCAGGGTCGGGAGGGGCCCAGGACATTGTTTGCGGGGTGTGGCCGAGGTCCCTACTTTGCACAGATCAGAGGTGGGTAGACAGAGGGATCAAGGCAGGGCCTAAAACCTGGCTAGCAGCCCCCTACTCACAGTGCCCAGTATCTGCCCTTGGGCTCCTTGGTTGGGTGAGTGGAACCAGTTCTATACCCACTTGGATTCCAAGCCCCTGTTTGTCCTACTCTGCTCTTCTTTCCATAGCTATGCCCGCCGAGACAGCCCCACCTACGATCCCTATAAGCGGTGAGTTCCCAGGGCCCAAGGAGGGGCAGCCAGCAAACCTGGTGGAGGGGCAGGGCTGGGGGGGGCAGTGGTTCTCAGCACCCACTGTCATTTGTGGGTCTGGATCGTTATTCTGATTTCCACAATGTTATTCTGCTTTCCCAGTGTTTTTTTCTTTAAATGTGAACCTTTTTTTTTTTTTTTCCTGAATTAAATACAATGTAGTCATGTATTAAAAATGACCAAGCGTGGCAAAAAGGTCTGTTAGAGAAATCAGAAGTGTCTTTGATCTAAACTCCCAGAAATAAGCAGTGAGAGATTCTACACACGAGGGCCCGGCCTTGCACACATGTGTCTCTGGGGTGTGGGAGCGATGGGGCATGGCTGAAGAAGGACAGACGTCAGCCTAACCCCGGTACCCTCTTTAGAATGCGGTGGGAGGGACCTGCCTCTATGGGCTCTTGGGAGGACAGGAGACGAGACAGGTACCTCTGGGTACAAGGTCAGTGCAGGTAGACACTCAGTCTGAGGACATGGGTACTTCCTTTTTATAACAATGGGATTGTGCCGTGCTTAACAGTGTAGAATTGCTTGATGGACGTTTATGTTGAAGTGATCCTCCCAGGTTAAATCTGCAGATCTGCTCATCCTTTTTTATTATATATATACTTTTTAAAGATTTAATTATTTCTTTAACAGAGAGGCAGAGAGGCAGGCAGAGAGCCAGGGGGAAGCAGGTTCCCCGCTGAGCAGAGAGCCTGATGCGGGGCTCGATCCCAGGACCCTGAGATCGTGACCTAAGCTGAAGGCAGAGGCTTAACCCACCGAGCCACCCAGGCGCCCCCGCTCATTATTCTTTAATAGTTAACACGCAATCAGTACAACTCGTTGTCGCTCTCTTTCTTGCATATTTGCGGAGGCTCCGTGGCTGAGTTAAGCCCTTGCATAGCCGGGTTCCTTTCTGCCCTTCGGCCCTGTGTGCTGGTGCCGGGTGTCCGACAGTGCTCATTTGCGGGGCTCTGCACCATGAGTGTCAGCCCACGGACTCCCAGAGAGCCGGGCAGCTGAGTCCTCTCTTCCCTGCCCCGTAGGTCACCCTCTGAGTCCAGCTCCGAGTCCCGCTCCCGTTCCCGCTCCCCGACCCCAGGCCGTGAGGAGAAGATCACGTTCATCACCAGTTTTGGGGGCAGCGATGAGGAGGCAGCCGCGGCCGCAGCGGCAGCAGCCGCATCAGGGGCCACCACAGGGAAGCCCCCCGCACCCCCCCAACCCGGCGGCCCCGCACCGGGACGTAATGCCAGCGCCCGGTCGGTAACGCTCACACTGCCCGCCCTACGCCCCAGCCACCGTGGGGGGGACACGGGGCAGTGGGGGGCCCCGGCCCAGGCCCGTGCTGACCGGCCCCCCGTGCCCCGCCTGCAGCCGCCGTTCCTCCTCTTCCTCCTCCTCCTCCTCTTCCGCCTCGAGGACCTCCAGCTCCCGCTCCAGCTCCCGCTCCAGCTCCCGCTCCCGCCGAGGCGGGGGCTACTACCGCTCAGGCCGCCACGCGCGCTCCCGCTCCCGGTCCTGGTCCCGCTCTCGGTCCCGTTCCCGGCGCTATTCGCGCTCCCGGAGCCGCGGCCGGCGGCACTCTGGCGGGGGCTCCCGGGATGGACACCGGTACTCGCGCTCGCCTGCCCGGCGCGGTGGTTATGGGCCCCGGCGCAGAAGCAGGTGTGTGGCGCTGATGTGTGGGGGGCCTGGGGGAGGGCACAGCCCCAGGTCAGTCAGACCTGGCTCTAAGGGGGGGGAACGGGCCACTGCCAGTGTGTGAGGAAGCACTCAATTTGGAGGGGAGATGTGCCCCACCCCCACTCCTCCCTTGTGGTGACGAGGGCCGGAGCACAGCTACGTTCTCAGGGGACTGAGCTGGTCCTCCCTCGGGGTGGGGGTGCGCGGTTCCCTGGGGGGGTGTAGAGAGGTACGTGGACACTCCAGGGTGTCCTGGGGCTTGTAGTGGGGACCTGGCTGGCCTCCGGGGCTGGGTTGCTCCCTCTGCGGTAGAGAGATGCTGCAGACAGGGTAGGAAACGAGTTCCCTGAGGAGCGGAGCGGCCTTCCTGGGCTCTCCCTTGGTGGGATCGGGGCTGCCTCATGTCGGTGCGTCTCAGTGGGTGAGCCTGGCTTCAAATCCTGGCCCTGCTCAGAAACTTCCTGGTTGTTCCCGTGTAAAGGAAGGATAGCGTTCCCTTTGTGGAGTCATTGTGAAGGTGTGACAAGTGATGCACGTGAGTGCTGGGTACAGGGCCTGGTGTTGGGCGAGTGCCACTGCTACCAGCCTTGTCTCTTGTCTTGTGGCCTGCATCTCAGCGTCCGTTCCTACAGGGCCTGGCAGGTAAAATAAAGGGACCAGGTGGGCCTGGATGCACTGGGGCACACGTGTCCCCTCTAGTCGGGTTGTCAGTTGTGCAGTGGCAGGCCTGGTGTTGTCCTGGCTTGTTTTCTCAAGAGAAGTTGAGAGTCAGTTTTTAAAAGTTCATCTTGTCAACGTTGCCCACAAATTTGAGTTTTGTAAAAACTTGGTTAGCCCCCGTAGAATCTGTGTGTGGCCTAGACTTGGCTTCCAGCTTGTTCTTTGTAGCCTGACTCAGGGCTACCACAGGAGAAAGCCTGGGCATGGGAGGGGGCCTGGCCCCATCTCGAACATCAGACTGGGGGTGAGCCCTTGCCGAGAAGTGCCTAGCATCCCAAACAGAGAGAAGATGGGACTGCATGTGCCCCAACTGGGTCTCATGGGTCTGTGCTGTAGATGGGTGGAAAGAGTGGGCAAGGGGGTGGTCCCCACTGGACCCCAGCAAGGTGAAGACTGTGCTGGGGGTGTGGGTGAGGTCACAGCCCCTGGGAGCCTGGAGCTGGGCACCGTGTGTATAAAAGGGGCGCTGGTCAGCCGGGTCACATCCCAGGGGAGCAGGGGAGTATGTGTCTCCCAAGTGAGAAGCAGGAGCCGTCTCCAGGTGGTTGTATCTGGAGGGTGGGCTCCGTGTAGATACAGATCGAGGCCAGGGAGCAGCTGGGGAGCACGTGGGTGGTCACACCCAGAGCTTCCGCAGGGCCCAAGGGGAGGGCTGTAGTTTGAGCCAGGCTGGGGGTGTGTGGAGGGGGTCCCCAGCTCCTCATGGCTCCCCACGCCCTGCCGTGCCCCCAGGAGCCGCTCCCGCTCCGGGGACCGGTACCGGCGGGGCGGCCGGGGCCCCCGGCACCACAGCAGTAGCCGCAGCCGCAGCAGCTGGTCCCTCAGCCCATCCCGCAGCCGCAGCCTGAGCCGTAGCCGCAGCCCCAGCCCCAGCCGTAGCCGCAGCCGCAGCCCCAGCCGCAGCCGCAGCCGCAGCCAGAGCCGCTCGCCATCGCCCCCGAGGGAGAAGCTGACCAGGCCGGCGGCGTCCCCCGCTGTGGGCGAGAAGCTGAAAAAGTGAGCTGGGGCAGGGCTGCAGGAAGAGAGCGGGCAGCCTCGGGGAAGGTGGCTGAGCTCTGCTCTGCTCTTGGAAGAGAGCTTGGTCCTGCCTCGGGATGTCTGAGGGGGTATTGCTGTGCCCCTGGGGGGTCTGAGGGGACACGGCCCCGTCCTGAGGGATCCGAGAGGGACATGATCCCTCCCTGTGGGCGGTGGTGAAGTGGCTTGGGGTCTGAGGTGGCAGCCACCCTTTCTTCCTCCCAGGACCGAACCTGCCGCTGGTAAAGAGACAGGAGCTGCCAAAGTCAGTAAGAATTTGGAACTCGCCCGTCTAATTCCCGCCAGCAGCAGTGCCCAAGAGCTGGGCCCGGTGGGCCTGCAGGGGGGACCTGGGGGGGCCGGGAGATCCAGCCCTGGGGTTGAAGCGGGCCGGGAATGCTCTGACCTGTGAGGTCTGTGTCCTCCTCCCCTCCTCACTGTCCACTGGGGCTCCAGCTGTCCCCAGGCCTCCCAGACGCTTGTGGGGGTTGTCTGCGGCCAATTCTTGCTCCCCACATGTCCCCGCAAGTCCCAGGTTCTTGGATGAGGTGGGTGGTAGGAGCTCTGGACACCCACCCCCTCTCCCGCCTCTTCTCCCCCTTCCCCAGCCCAAGCTGACACCACAGGAGAAGCTGAAGCTGAGGATGCAGAAAGCACTGAACAGGCAGTGTATGTCTCCCCGCCCCACCCTGTCCCTGGTCTCCGCGCCTCTGCCCACCAGCCTAGCCTGGGGGCCTCGCCCGCTCCTGGCCAGGCAGGCGTCAGCACGGTGGCACTCGGGGGGGGGGGGGGGAATCAGCGTGCACGCCCTTCTGCTGCTCCCCCGCTAAGTGCTGTGGCCGTCTGGTTGGTCTCTCTGGGTTCAGTCTTGCTGTCTTTGAAGGGGGGTACTTTTGGGGGTACCCCTTGGCCACCATGACGTTCCTCCTTCCCCGCAGTCAAGGCGGATAAGAAGGCAGCCCAGGAGAAGATGATCCAGCAGGAGCATGAGCGGCAGGTAAGGGTGGCAGTGAGGGCTGGGCGTGGGGCCGGGTGCCAGCAGGCCCGCCCTCATGGCCACATCTGCCCAACAGGAGCGGGAAGACGAGCTTCGAGCCATGGCCCGCAAGATCCGCATGAAGTAAGACCATCATGGTTCCCATATCTGGGCTGCAGCCCCCCACTTTTGGGCTGCCCTCCTTGCTCCTAGCCCTGCTGCCTGCCCCAGCCCTCACGTGGGAAAAGGTCCGAGTGCCCGTTTGGCCTTGCCAGCCTGCTGGCTTTGGCTGCCATGGCTCCTCCCACTGTGCTGGCCGGCATGCACGGGGCCTTTGCGTTCTCCTCTCTGGCTTCTCTCGTTGGGGGGCCCTCCCCAGCCATCCTGTCTGGAGTAGCACCCCATGCCCCGCCATCCTCCCAGCCTGCCGTGTTTTTTTCAGAACGCTGACCTCCACCTGGCATGCCCTGCTTTGTTTCCTTGCTTGTGGGTGATGTCGCCTGAGAGGGGATGAGCGGGCAGGTCAGACTGCGAGGTTCCTGCCTTGCGCCCAGCCCCCAGATCAGAGGTGGTGTTCAGCAGGCCAGCCCCGTGACCGCTTCTACCTGCTCCTCTTCTGTTTCTCGGCTCTTAACTACACAGGGGTCGGGCTTGCATCCTAGACCAGGCAGCCGTGGGGTCCGGTCCCGGCTCTGCCTGTCTGTGACCGTGGGTCCCCAGGGTGGGCGCTGGCCCTCTCAGGCCTCACTTCATCATTTGCAGCCGGGACACACCTTGGTGACGACCTAGCAGGGTAGCTGGGGCGTGACTGCTCCGAGAGCGCAGGCCTACGCGGGGCCGGTGGGCAGAAGTGGAGACCTGAGTGCTCAGTGCTGGCGAGGAGGGCCCATCCGTCAGCAGCACGGCCATGTCTCCAGCTGCTCGCTTGTCGGTCCTCATGAGCTCACGAGCAGCTTCATTCCTCTGAGCCGAGGCTCCTTCCTCTTCCTCTCCTGGGGTCCCTGCTGCCTGGCTTCCTCCGCAGGGCCCCGCATGTTGGCAGGCTGCTGCTTGTCTCATCACTGTGCTCGGCGCACACCCATCATGTGCTGGGCCTCAGGGTGCAGCCTGCCTCCATCAGCTGGGGAAGCAGGGCGCCCGGGGACTCAGCACTGTGGTCAGTTGGAGCTGGATTCTGAGCCCGCCTCTGCTAACCACGAGCTCTCGTGTCTGCACCTCAGTTTGCTCTTTTGCTAAATGGGGATGGAATAGTTGTCCCAGCCGACAGGCTGTTGGGCGGATTCAGATGGATCCAGGTCAGGAAAGCACAAGGGGCCCAGTAAATACAGCCCTTGGGGTCACAGGTCCCGGGCATCCTGACAAAGGCCGATGAAGCACTTAGTGCGTGGGTCCCTGTGTTTGAGGCTACCTGAGTGTGATGGGTGAAGGTTGAACTTTCCAGCTCAATCCCGTGTCTGTTCAGCACGCCTTTCAAAGCGAAGCTGGCTGAGATCTGTCCCACTCTCCCCAGCCGGTATTCCTCTGTGCCCAGTGCTCTCGTGTCCGAGCAAGGACAGCAGCACTGTCTGCCTGCAGCTTTACTCTGCTGCTTGGGCCGGGATGTTGGAAGCACCTGCTCTGGCCAGGCAACCCAGCCGCGCCCTTCAATTCAGTGTTCTCACCACGTGCTCATGCCTGCTCCTGGGCTGCCTCCCTTTCCCCCTGCAGGGAGCGGGAACGTAGAGAGAAGGAGCGAGAAGAATGGGAACGCCAGTACAGCCGACAGAGCCGCTCACCCTCCCCCCGTTACAGTGAGTATCCCTACGGCCACTTGGCCAGGAGCGCTAGACTCCGAAATCCGGCTGCAGGAAACCTGGTGTGTTTTCTGCCGTGGTTTTCCGTGGGTTAGAATTCTTCTTTTTTTTTTTTTTTTTTAATTTATTTGACAGACAGACCACAAGTAGGCAGAGAGGCAGGCAGAGAGAGACGGGAGAAGGAGGCAGGCTCCCTGCCGAGCAGAGAGCCCGATGCGGGACTCGATCCCAGGACCCTGAGATCATGACCTGAGCCGAAGGCAGAGGCTTTAACCACTGAGCCACCCAGGCGCCCCGTGGGTTAGAATTCTTAAGACACGCGCACCAATGTCATGGCTTAGACGCAGGGAACGGCAGGCTTTAGAAGCAGTGCTCCTTGCGGGGCCCTGGGGTGCTGAGGGGAGGGGACTGGCTGGAGGTACGGGCGTCTCAGCCAGAGGCAGCCCCCGGGGCCTGGTCCCTGAGCATCGGCTTTGTTCTCTTAATTTTCCAGGTCGAGAATACAGCTCTTCCCGAAGGTAAGCCAGCAGGCCCAGCTCCCTGGAAGACGACCTCGTCCCTGCCCCGGTTCTTCCATCTCCACCCGGCAGCCCTCCTGTTGCACAGGCTGGCCTCAACCGTTGTTAATGTCCCTCCTTCTGCAGCACGCTCCCCCATCGCCAGCGTCCCAGGGGTCACAAGCTTGTTGGTGTGGGTGCATACCATGTGGCTGCTTCCTCCCAGCCCTCACGGGGCCCCTCTTTCTCTCTGCAGGCGCTCAAGGTCCCGATCTCGAAGTCCCCATTATCGACATTAGGCAGAAGTGTGGGGAGCAGGAGGATGGGGGGGGGTGAGGGCTCAGGCTGTGATGCTGCTGGTTTGATCTCTAATGAAATAAAATCACTCGTTATTTAATTCCCTTGACCTGGGCTCGGTGTCATCTGTGTGGTCTGGCCAGCAGAGGCAGCTGGGGAGGGAGCCGGCTCCGGGATGGGAGCCAACACTAGGAGCCTCTGTGGCAAGTCCTGCCCCAACGTGGGTGTCGGGGTGGTGGCTCCTGGGTCAGCAGCACCGTTCCCGCCATAGCTCAGCGAAGGCAGGGGCCCACTCTGGGCTTAGCCAGGAAGGGCCCAGCACCCAGCATGTAGAGGCCGGGCCAGGACTTTGCCCAGGGGCCTCTGGTGACAGGTCCAGGCTTCTCCCCACCCTCGCCTCGGCCCCTGCCCTGGCCTCGCCCACACTGGGAACCGGGAGCACGGCTTTCTGTGCCAGTCCTGCTGTGCCCGGGGCGCTGGGGGCTGGCCTTTCCCCTCCCCCTCTCCAAACCGGTCTGTCCAGCCGTCCACCCCAAGGAGGGAAGCCACCCGCCCCACCTCAGACACCCCAAGAAAGCCAGAGTCCAAACGCGTGTGTAAACAGGCGGGAGAATTTACTTGCAGCAGAGGAAGGCCAGGGAGGGTGCCCAGCGGCGGTCCCGGTGGTCCCGGGAGCAGCATGGAGGGCACTCTGACAGCTCAGGCCTCTCCGCCCACCCCAGGGTGCTTCTGGCGCAGGTGTTTGTCCAGGGTGGCGCGCAGGCCGAAGGGCACGCAGCAGTGGGGACACTCGAAGCGGGTGCTGCCAGGCCCGGGGCCGTGCATGCGGCGGTGGCGGTTCAGCTTGCTGCTCTGCGCACAGGCGTAGGAGCAGAGCTCGCAGGCGTAGGGCCGCTCGCCGGTGTGCGAGCGCCGGTGCACCGTCAGGTTGCTGCTGTTGCTGAAGTGCTTCCCGCAGAACTCGCAGCTGCCCCCGGGCCCTCGGCTCTTGCCCAGTGGCTTGGGCATCTTCTTGGGGGACAGCTGGCTCTTGGCAGGCTCGGTTCTCTGTTCCTTGGGGGCAGGCCCCCAGCTGGCCCCACCGCCAGGGGCCCCGGGCTCCTGGACGCCCGCAGTGGCCGCAGCCCCGGCGCCTTCCCCGCTGCTGCACGGGAGGGTGCTGGCTGGGGCAGCGGCGTGTGCAGCTGGCTCCGGAGGGGCAGCGGCAGAGGCCTGCTCCCCGCCAGCAGCGGCCCTGCAGGGGCTCTGGGGCAGCGGCTGCCGGTGTGTCTTCTTGTGGCGGTTGAGCTTGCTGCTCTGGGTGCAGGTGTAGGGACACTGGTCGCAGGCGTATGGCCGCTCTCCAGTATGCGAGCGCATGTGCACCTTGAGATTACTGAAGGAGCTGAGGGTCTTGGCGCACACAGGACAGGTGGGGCTCCGCCGGGGGAGGACGCTCCCCCGCGGGCTCTGGGCCTCCACGTCGGGCCCCACAACCGCCGACACTGCGGCGGCCACCTCCGCCAGGCCCAGCAGCGGGGCCTCGGGGGCCTCGGGCTCCGTCTGGTAGATGGACAATCCGTGGTCCCACTGGGCATGGCGCAGCAGCTTCCAGGCCCCCGTGAACTGTCTCCCACAGCGGAAGCAGCTCAAGGCCTTGGGGTCCTTGTGCTCTGCAGAGAGAAGGGCCGGTGTTAGGGAGATGGAGGAAAGCCGGGGGTGCCACTCACACCTGCCAGTTGGTCGCCTTCTGCAGGAAAGGCCCTGTTTCAGGGGCTGAGAAAGCACTGCAGGAAGACAAACTCACTATCCTCAGAAGCCGAGGGGCAGATGTGGGCGGACAGACAAGGAAAATCTGTGGAGTGGATGACGACGACCTGGGGATTCTCTGTGTCTTAGAGTCTTCCAGAAGAAAAGGGAAAGCAGAGCGAGGGATGGGAGGAGTGCTATTTTCTATGGGGGAGAGGGTCAGGAAGGCCTTACTGGAGACCTGGAATTCTGGGTGCTGGGGGCGGGCCATGCCCCACCTCGACTCAGCTTCCCACCTAGACAAGAAACAAGACCTCTGTCTTCCAGATGGGAGAACTGAGGCAGATACACTTCTCCGAGGTCACAAGCTTAGAAGGGCAGAGCTGGGGTTTCAATGCAGAAACCTGGGGAGGGTGAGACAGTTTCAAAAAAGACTGTTGGGATGATTACTGAGTGGGTTTCTGCACCAGGCTCCAAGTTCATGGATTCCACGGGTGGTCTCCTATTTCCTGCCTTATGTAGAAGATGGGGCCAAGGCCTAAGTGGGGAGAAGGCAAAGCAGCCACCTAGAGGTCGGGGTGGGGCAGTGAGGTCCCCCTCCCTCCTCATGCACCCGAAAGTAAGAACCCTCCAAATTGGACGTTTTCTCTAGACTCTCCAGGTACTACCAGTAAAGTGTTTGCCTTGAGTTTCCAAATTCTAGACCGTCTGGGATGGGGGCGGCTTTCCTGAAGCATCACCAGCCAGGGTCAGGAGCTCAGAAGGCAGCTGGAGAGTGCCAGCCCGGCCTGACTTCCAGCTGGTTCTCTGGCTCCCTAGCTGTGTGACCTTGGGCGAGAAACCCTTCTCTCTGGCCCTCAGTTTTCTTACTCGTCAGAATATGGGGATACTGGGGATCCTCTTCCTTTTAGGGTTGTTGCGACCTCAAATGGAGAAGAGCTGAGAGTTCCGGTCCATGTCAGCCCTCAGTAAACATGAGCTGAGCCCACAGGGCTGAGGTGTGCCCACACTGCTCCAAGTCCAAGTACCCGGGGTGTTTAGTGATTCCACCAACGCCCCTCCCTGGGCCACCAGACCACCAGCTGCTTCAAGTCTACAGCTAATTCACAGTCCCTCCTTTCCCTCCCCTACTACAGCACCTTCTAGCCTCCAGCCCGGGCCTGAATATAATTCCACCTATCAAATATCCTAGACCACATGGGCCAGGGGGTGGAAATGTGCAGGTTCAGAGGCACCTCAGCCTCTGATGACCAGAAGCTCACCATGAGTCTAGTATCAGGTCAAGGGCTTTGGTTCCCTCCCAAGAGAAGGAACCCAGGTGTCCAGACACCCAGGACCTGGCCCAAACCAGGGGCTTCCCAGTGTGCAGGGCTGGGAGATTCCGTCTGAGAGGGAAGCCAGAGGCCCCTTCACTGGCTCTGAGCAAGCGCACCAGCGCCTGGAATCCAAAGTTATCAAGAGGTGGGATGGGGCGGCCATGCCACGCTTCCAGCTGGCCTCAGCTTCCCCTCCCCCAGGTTGTTGCCCTCCCCAGAGGTCCCCCTACTGCCACACGGGTCCAGCCACCTGGCCAGTTATTTCTGGCCAAGGGGAAGGAGAAGTGAAACCAGATTCGGGGGGTGTGTGTGTGTGGCAAATCCCCAGACCAGTCTTCAGGGGCTGGCCACACCCTGTGGGCGGCCCTCCTACAGGCCCAGCCCCCGCCGCCCCCCCAACTAGTCCCAGCCCTAGGACAGGGCAGGCCCTGGCCACGCCTAGGCTACACCCGATGGGGAGCGAGAAAGGGGAAGTAGTGCTCACTGCCCCGCCTGTCCAGCTCAGCCCCTGCTCCCACAGGAAGCCGGGCCCTTGAACTTGAGAGGGGGACTGCATCCCCGCTTGACTCACCTGAGCCCTGGCAGGGGCTGGGCCCTTTGAAAAGCTGACAGTCCACCTTCTTGTGGTCCATGAAAGCAGTGATGGCCTCCAACGGAAAGGTCTGCAGGCAACGGCCGCAGGTCAACAGATCCGGGTGTTTGTCGGTCCAGGGCTGGCGGTCTGCTGGGAGGAAGCGGGTGGTAAGCGTGGGGTGGGGCCACGATGGGGCCTGGGGGTTCCGAGGGAGAGGGAAAACCCGAAGGTCAGAGGCCGGGAGCACGCAACACAAATGAGGCAGGGTCAAGGGGTCGGGGGTCGGCGCCCGAGGGAAGGCGTCGCACCCCCCCAACCCCCCGAGGGAAGGGGGAGAGAGGCGGGGCAGGGGTAGGGGGCGCTCACCGCGAGGGCTGAGGCTCAGTGGCGTCCACAGCGCCCACTGGTTCCGCGCGCCCAGGGAGTGGAGAGGGCTCCCGGCGGGCGCGGGGCCGGGGGAGTGGCGGGGTTCGCCGTCGAACCGCCCCGACGCGGGCACTTCCTTCGGGGAGAAGGGCCCAAGCCCCGGGGCCTGTAGGGCCCGCGCGTCTGGCTCGGGCTTCACTTCGATGACGAGGTCCGGCATCTCCATCTCGTCGTCTGTGTTGGAGGCGGGCGCGGGGTCTACTCGGCGGGGCGTGCAGCCGGCCTTTCGGCGGGACATGGGTCGAGGGCCGGGCGGGCTGGCGTGCTGGCGGGCTGGCTGGCGGGCTGGCTGGCGGCGGACGCGCGGGCTGTGCGCGCTCAGTCCGAGGCGCTCAGGTGAGTGACTGCGGAGACCCGCCGCGAACTCTTACACGTGCTGGCCCGGCCCGTTGCTCCGCCCACCGGGGCGGGGCCTGACGGGAGAGTACGGGGCGGCCCCCAGAGGGGCCCCGGGCCGCTGCCAAACTCGATCAAAGCCGAGCCCACTGCAGTTTCTTAGGGACCGAACCTTAATTACGCCGAGGCCACGCGAGTACACGCGCAAACAGCTATTCCTGATCCGGCCTTGGGGCCGGTGTAACTGAGGCACAGGGTCCCCACACCCACCCCGAGAGAGAAAAACAGTAGGGGCCACGTTTTTCGCTAGGCGCCTATGAGTAATCGGGACGGTTTCATTAAATGCATTACAATAAAAATTCTGTGAGCCAACATTTATTGAGCATTTACTGTGCACTGGGTTCTGTTCTAAGCACGGAGGATATCGCAGGGAACAAGACAGAAAGTAATAATCCCCGGCCTCAGGCAGTTTCTTTGTCGGGGAGACAGATTCTCAAGGTGACTGCAAAACGTAAGTGCCTCCCAGGATGACAAGTGCAGTGGGGCAAAATAAAGCTAGGAGGGGCTGCAAAGGGACGGGGTTGCTGGGGTGGGGTCGGGAGGGTCCCTTCTCTCCAGAGCAGAGCCTGGTAGAACTGAGACCGGCCTTGCGCGTTCTAGAGTAACAAGGAAGGGGGTTGGGCATGGGGAGAGGCGTGGGTGATTTGAGTTTTCTGAGAAAATGAGGTCAGGCCCTAGAGGGTCTTATGATCGCTTTAAGGTCTTGGGTTTCCTGAGACCAGAGCCTTGAGTGGTTTAAGGCGAGGAGGGTTGTGACCCTATAGATCTCTGCTCTGGAATCACCATTCAGACCAAACAGGCAACTGTCTCACTGCCCCCCCCACCTCCGCGGCCCTGCTCAGGCCTCCTTGAACTTCCCTCCACAAAGCAGCTCACTCTGATCACTGTTTGAAGTGGCATCGACACCCAGCCCCACCCTCCAACCCTGACGAGTTTCTTCTTCTTCCTGGCACCAGCCACATCAGAACTTAGACCTATTTGTCGACTGTCCTCCCTTCCTCCCCCCCCCCCCCCCCCACAAGCCCCCTGAGGTCAGGGCCAGGGTCTGTCCTCTCTGGCGTCGCTGGCCCGGCTCGGAGTGAATTTCACATGCTAATCTCCCCAGAGTACTGCTCCAGGCCAGAAGGTTCCTCATATTGTTATTCAGGGCTGAGCTCAATTGTCCTCCAGAGAGCAGAGGACCTCCCTGACCACTGTATCTAATGTAGCCCCACCCTGCTGGAGGCCTCGGACCGTGACCTCCATCTGTCCTCGCTTCTTCCCCGGCCCTCGGCTTCCCTGTCTGATACCTAAGGGTACTTCTTCACGGCCACCATGACCCTTATTTTATTCCTTCTATATCACTCATCACAAGCCCTGAAGGATCTTGTTGATGTATTTGCTCCTGGAGACCCTGTATCTGCCGCTACCGGCCCTTCTAAAATATAGGTTCTAAGCAGGCAGGAGCCAAGTCAGCCTTGTCCACGGGGCCCTGCTCCTGCATAGTTCAGTTAACAAATTTGTATTGAGCTCCTGCTCTGCAGTTTTTGTTTTTGTTTTTTTTAAGACATTTATTTGAGAGAGAGCAAAAGAGCCAGAAAGAGAGGGAGAAGCTGACTCCCACTGAGCAGAAAGCCCCACATGGGACTCAATCCCAGGACTCTGGGATCCTGACCTGAGCCAAAGGCAGACTCTTAACCCACTAAGCCACCCGGGCATCTGGCACAGTCTTCCATAGGTATGGCAGAGGGCCTGTGTGCCAGGGCATCTGGTGGGGTGGAAAGGTCCACGAAGCCTCCGCCTTACTGAAAAAGTGTGGCAGAAGGGAATTCTGTCTGAGCCCAGATGAACGAGGCTCCCAAGCCCTTCACGCCAGACATTCCATCCTTCAAGGCCTGTTTCCTCCTTTGTAAAACGGGGGGTGCTGCAGGGAGGTGTGCCGGACAGAACCACCACCCCTTGGTTCCATCCCAGCAGCAGCTCTCCACAAGCCTCTTTCCCGCCGTGTGGCTGCGCGGCGTTTCAAGGAAAGGGGGTCTGGGGTCTGGACGGCAGGTGAAGGGTAGGAGTGTGCACGTGTAGGGGGGTGGGGGGGGCAAACACCAAGCGCCCCGCTTAACTCAGCCGGGAGGAAGTCTTCTCTGCACCTCTTTGCACCTCGGTTTCTTCTTCCGTGAAGCGGGCATCCCAGACAGGCCCCACCTCGCCGGCGGGCGACTCCGAGGGCAGCGCGGGGCCAGGCCGCAGGCGGAGTGGGACGCCGGGCAGAGCCCGCTTCCGAGCTCGAGAGCCCGCCCGCCACCACGTGGGGCTTGGGGCTGGGGCGGCGGCGCGGGCGGAACCTAGGCTGGGCGGCTCTCCGCCCGCCCGAGCCTCTGCAGCCGGGGCGCCGGCGGAAGTGCGAGCCCCAGTCGCCACGGACCTGGGTGAGTGCGGGGTGTTGGTGGCGGGGCGGGAGCTCCAGTCCGCGTGCGGAGCCGGGAGCGGCGGGAAAGGGGCAGGTCCGCGCCTGCCACACCGGCCGTGGAGGACCTTCCGGTCCCTCCACCCCGCCCGGAGCGCCGGCACCCGTACTCCGATCCGGGCACGTTCCCGCGCTCGGGTCTTCGGGGCGAGGAGCCGGAGCAGCGCGCAGTGCCTCCCCCCACCCCCCCGCCCCTGGCCCGCCTCTCCCGGGAAGAGGATGAGACAACGGTCAGGGCAGTGACCGCGGCTGCAGTCCTGACGCCCCGCGGTGTTTGGACGGAATCGCTGGCCCGATCTGAGCTGGGAGGACACCCAGCGCGGGCGGAGTGGGGAATGGACGCCCGGGGGCCGGGAGGACCTACTTAGTATAAGAAAGGGCTAGCGGTGGGTGGCCAGGGCGGAATTGAAAGGGAACTGACCCGCGCAGGGGGCAGAGGGGAGGGGAGGGACTCCGTGCGGGAGCTGGGGGTGGGGGCTGGTTGTGTGGACTCGTCAGCCCCTTGCTTCTTTCGCCGGGGTCGGGGGTCTTCGCTGTGAACCTGCTAACCTAGCTAGTTTCCTGCCCTGGTAACGGAAGGGTTAGTTAGCGAAGCGTCCACTGAACGGATCCATTGCCTTTTCCTTGGAAGTCAGCCCCGAGGCCCCAGGAAGGGAGGTCTGCAAATCTGCTGCCCTCGCCCACGACCCAAGTGATGAGCTCTGGAGTCTTTAGCTATGCAAATCGTTTTTCAAGTCGTGGGGGATGGGTTTGGACATTTTTCTGAAATCTTCTGGGGGGAAATCCTTGGCTTGGAAACTGAAAAGATTAAGGATTCTGGAGCCTGATCACCAGGGAACATGGATAATGCCTGGTTTTGCCTTCTTGAGCACACCCTGCAGGACCTTTCCTAAACCAGTTTCTTACCGGATCACACCTTGGTTCTGAAACCTCCGGTGGCCCTTCAGTGCTGTCTGAGGACATGGCCGGATCCCTTGTCAGACCAACCTGGCTTTGCTCCCTTTTTCCTGCGGCTCAGTCAGCTCACTCCCAGTAAATGATTTGTCATTTCCCAGTCCCAGTTTCCTCCTCTGGAAAATGGGGATCTCACAGGCTAACCAAATCTCCATTTGTTCTCCCCTAATGGAGAAAGCAGGTCTGTACGCTGGTTCACCCTTGCTTTTTTGTTTTATCCAGGGATTTAACATCATTTGTGGCCACTTGATTAATTCCTAACGATCCTTTATGTAGTACCAGCCCTAGAGAGTAGGGTGTTTCTTTTAAATCACTCAAGTGTTAACCTAGGTTGCAGGAGAGCCCTGGGGGCTGATGATTCTTGACCAAGCTTGGACTGCAGTGGTCAGATAAGTTAAAAAATGTGTATATCCTTGAGTCCCATTCGCAGTGGTAGTAATCAAATAAAGAAAACGTATATTGTACACCTGAAACTAATATCACAGTGTGTATTAACTAACTGGGATTAAACCAAAAACTCAAAGAAGAAAATGTATATATCCCATAAATCCCATTTACTGTGGTCTTTCCCATCAGGGAAAACGCTGAGAGTCTGTCTTGGTCCTCCCCTCAGTCCAACAGCAAGTAGTGAGGGCTCTCAACCTTCAAAATAAATTCTTATCTGACCACTTTTCCCCACCTGCGTGGCCCTCAACCTGTCCCAGGCACCGTCATCCTCTGCCTACCTGGGCCACTGCAGTGGCTTCCTCACCGGGCTCCCTGCTTCTCCCTCGGTGTCCCTCACAATCCACTGTCCCCATGCAGCAGGCAGAGGGATCATGTGAAAATCCAAGTCCCGTCCTATCTGTCCTTCCTCACTCAGAGTAGAGAGCCAGGTCCTCACCTCCGTCTTCAAGGCCCTTTCCTGCACGATCCACCCCTGCTTCGGCCTCCTGCCTCCTCCACGTTGGCCTCCCTGCCACGGGCTTTGCATTTGCTGTTCCCACTGACAGGAACACCTTTCCCCCCAGATCTCTACGTGACTCCATCCCTTATACCATTTGGGTCTGTGCTCAAATGCAACAGACTTCCTGGCCAGCTCGCTCTCTCGCCCCTAGGCTGGGCTGGTGCCCCCTCTGGATACCTGAGGGCCCCCAGCCTCATTCCTTCCAGCCCGGCCCACTCCGGGTCAGCATCCTCTAAAGACAAGTCAGGTGGGTGGGGCACTGAGCAGGCACTTGGATAACGTGGATGGGTGAATCTTTTCGTTCCTTCAACAAAGATTGACTGAGCTCCCCCTGTTTTCCTGGCTCGGGGTGTGGCTGGGATGGGGTTGTGAAATCACCAGACATGGCCTTTCAAAGTCTTGTGTCCTGTGGCAGACCCGACAGTACGCAGGTAAACAAGTGCATGCATATTGTCAGGAGGGGATAGTACTATGCGGACAGGAGAATGCAGGGTGAAGGGGCTACTGTCCGCCCCCCCCATAAAGGTGACATTTGAGCAATGACCTGAGGGCAGTGAGCGGGGGAAGATGAGTCCTGGACCCGGAAATGTATAAAACTCTCCCATCTGGAAGAGGGTTCTAGGCAAGAGTGGTTTTTTTTTTTTTTTTTTTAAAGATTTTACTTATTTATTTGACAGAGAGGGAGAGATCACAAGTAGGCAGAGAGGCAGGCAGAGAGAGAGGGGGGAAGCAGGCTCCCCACTGAGCAGAGAGCCCGACTTGGGGCTTGATCCCAGGACCCTGAGGTCATGACCTGAGCCGAAGGCAGAGGCTTAACCCACTGAGCCACCCAGGCACCCCAGGAGTGTTCTTGATATGTTCAAGGACTGGAGGACTGAGCAAGAGTGGAGGGGCAGGATACGAGGTCAGAGGGGTCTTGCAGCCACGGGGAGGACTTGGGCTTTTTGCTCTTGGGGGAGGTAGGAGCCCTAGGGGGGGCTCTGAGCTAAGGAGGGGTGTGTTGGGACTTAGTTCTAACAGGATCTCTCTGATAGCTGTGTCGGCGCAGGGAAAGGTGAAGGTAGAAGCTGGGGGCCTGATGGGGAGGAGACTGGTAGAGTCCAGGTGACTAGGGACGGTGGCGGGACCAGACTGGAGAGGAAGCAGAGTGGGGCAGAGGGTGAAAAGTTGCTGGGTTCTGGATACGACTTTGAAGGTGGAGCTGAGGGGCTGTACTGATGGATGGAAGAGAAAGCGAGGAGGGGTCCGGGACACCGTGGGATGCCCTTTTCCTGATCACCCTGAAAGATGCTCCCCTCTCCTGGAAACCTTAGGAGGTCAGTTTTTTCTTTTCTTTCCTCCTTCATTTCACAGATGAGGAACCGGAGCCGGAAGGCTGCCTATAGAGTCGCAGTCACCAGCCCAGATCCTTCGTAGTGAATCTGGGAGGGCTAAGAACCACCGGGCTCCCTGAATCCACACCTTTGTCCTCTCTGCCGCGGGCGGGGTAAGCTGTGGCCTGCCTCCTGGTCTGGTCTGGCCCACCAGCTAAGAGCGGGTCTTACACTTCTAAGTGCTTGGAAAATTTTAAGAAATCTGTGTGGGTGCATGAAATTGTATGGAATTCAAATTGCAGTGTCCCTCCTGATAAGTAAGGTTTTAAGAAGGGCCACACTCATTGTTTGCGTATCTGGCCATGGCTGCTTTCTTGCCACTGTGGCAGCGTTGAGTAGTTGTGACAGACCCTGTGGGCCACAAAACCTGAAGTATTTACTGTTGGGCCCTTTACAGAGGAAATTTGCTAACTTGCAGTAAGGATCCCATCTGACCACCACTGTGATCGGTAGGGCTTGGCAGCTCATCCCTAGGAAAGGTCTGGGCTGGTACAGAAAGTTTGGGGAGTGGATAAGGTTGGGAGAGGAAGTTCACATTCCCGAGGGGGAATCTGACATTCTTATTTCTATTTCTTTAAATTTTATTTTAAGTAGTCTCCACCTACCACCCTGAGATCAAGAGTTGTGCAAACTCAACAAATGACCCAGCCAGGTGCCCCGGGAATCTTTTTTTTTTTTTTTTTAAAGAATTTATTTATTTATTTGAGAGAGCGAGAGTGAGAGGGAGCGCAAGCAGGGGTGGGGAGGGTGGCAGGGGAGAGGGAGAAGCAGGCTCCCCACTGAGCGGGGGCTCCATCCCAGGACCCAGGACCCTAGGAATTATGACCCGAGCCAAAGGCAGACACTTTACCGACAACTGAGCCACCCAGGCGCCCCAGAATCTAACATTTTTCGAGAGAGATGGGAGCATTACAGTATGCCCCTTCCTTCTTGAAATTAGAATTTAAAAATTACTTTGATGACGCCCCTGGGTGGCTCAGTTGGTAGAGCACTGGGATTCTTGATCTCTGGGTTGTGAGTTCCAACCTCATGTTGGGTCTAAAGATGACCGGAATTAAATAAAATCTTAGAAAAAAATATTACTTTGACTAGTAATATTTTGTGAAAGGACTGTGAAAGTCATAAAGAGGTTGACTGTTCAAAGGCCCCTCCCCTGGGCTCTTCCAGCGGCTGAAGGACCAGCAGCCTTTGCAGTGTTCACAGAAGCCGTCACTGGCCCTCTGTGACCCTGATTTATGCCCTTAGTCCCAAGGGACGGAAGGTGCTTCTCCACAGCTGCACAGACACCTTGCCTCATCAGCCTTGCCTCTTACCCCAGCTGGGAAGTGAAGGGTCTTCTAGCATTGGAGCTTTAATTTGCATTTCCCTGGTTGTCTGTGGGGTTGTGACTGTTCAGGAGTTGAATAGCTGTGTTTATCCGCACCCCCCACCTGTTTGTCTACACTAGTGGTTCTCAACTAGACACGTTTTTTATTTTGTTCCTCCCAAGGACATTGGGCCATGTATGGAGAGTTTTTTGGGTTTGTTTTTGTTCTTTTTTTTAATTAAGGGAGAAGCAGACTCCCTGCTGAGCAGGGAGCCCCACACAGACTGGATCCTGGGACTCCAGGATCATGCTCTGAGCTGAAGGCAGTCACTTAACCGACTGAGCCACACGGGTGCCCTGCCCCACCACCTTTTTTTTTTTTTTTTTTTTTTGTAGAAATCATTTTTTTGAATATATACACTGAATTTAAAAAAAAAAATTTATTGGGGTAAAGCATACATAACCTTTGTTACTTTACCTAATTTTTAAAAGATTTTATTTATTCATGAGAGACAGAGAGAAAGAGAGGCAGAGGGAGAAGCAGACTCCCTGCAGAACAGGGAGCCCAATCTGGGACTTGATTCCAGGACCCTGGGATCATGACCCGAGCCGAAAGCAGACGCTTAACCAATTGAGCCACCCAGGTGTCCCTACCTTTTTTTTTTTTTTTTTTAAGATATTTATTTATTTATTTGATGGATAGAGATCACAAGTAGGCAGAGAGGCAGGCAGAGAGAGAGGGAGAAGCAGGCTCCCCGCTGAGCAGAGAGCCTGACGCAGAGCTCGATCCCAGGACCCTGAGATCATGACCTGAGCTGAAAGCAGAGGCTTAATCCACTGAGCCACCAAGGCGCCCCGACCCCTGCCTATTTTTTGTTTTTTTAAGATTTTTATTTATCTGAGAGAGAGAGAGAGAGAGAACACAAGCAAGGGGAAAAGCAGAGGGAGAGGGAGAAGCAGACTCCCCAGTGAGCAGGGCCTGATGTGGAGTTTGATCTCAGGACCCTGAGATTATGACCTGAGCCGGAGGCAGAGGATTTTTTTTTTTTTAAGATTTTGTTTATTTATTTGACAGAGATCATAAGTAGGCAGAGAGGCAGGCAGAGAGAGAGGGGGAAGCAGACTTCCTGATGAGCAGAGAGCCTGATGCAGGGTTCAATCCCAGGACCCTGGGATTGTGACCTGAGCCTAACGTAGAGGCCTCAACCCACTGAGCCACCCAGGCGGCCCTGAAGGCAGAGGCTTAACCTGCTGAGCTACCCAGGCATCCAGCCACTTTACCTATTTTATTTTATTATTCCATTCTATTTAATTTTATTTTATGTAATCTCTACCCCTAGTATGGGGCTGGAATTTATGACCCTGAGATCAAGAATTTCCTGCTATTGACCAAGCCAACCAGACACCCCAATATATGGAGAACTTAAAAAAAAAAGGCTTTATGGGGTGCCTGGCTGGCTTAGTCAGTACAGCATGGAAATCTTGATCTTGGGGTTATAAGTTTGAGCTGCATACTAGATGTAGAGATTATTTAAAAAAAAAATCTCTTATTTTTTTAAGATTATTTATTTATTTATTTGTCAGAACAGAGAGAGCGAGGGAGCGTGTGTGCAGGGGGAGTCCAGGCAGAGGGAGAAGCAGTCTCCCTGCTGAGCAAGGAGCCTGATGCTGGGCTCGATCCCAGGACTCTGGGATCGTGACCCAAGCCAAAGGCAGACACTTAACCGACTGAGCCACTCAGGCATCCCCTGAAAAATAAAATTCTAAAAAAAAAAAAAAAAAGGCTTTATTGAGCTGTAATTCTTATACCGTACCATTCACCAGTGGGAGACAATTTTGGGAGTCACGGCTTGGGGTAGGGGATGCTACAGGCGTCTTGTGGCCAGAGGCCAGGGCTGTTGCTAAAATCTCACACTTCTGCACCTAACAGGCCCCCACAGCAGGACAAAGAGGGCCCTGTCGCAAATATCAATGATGCTGAGGTTGAGAAACCCTCATCTACTGCTGTGGCCCATTTCCCTGCAGGGTCCTTCCTTGCCAGGAGCCCACAGGTGAGCTGCAGAGACAGGAATCGCCTAACGAGGAAAAGGATCATCTCAGTCTCCCTCTTACTGTGAGTGGCCCGGGGTGGGACACGGGTGCCTAAAATCTGTCATCACTTTAGAGAGGACTGAGCCACGGTTTCAGCTGCCTGAAACCTGGGTCCCTCTCTCCCTGTCTCTCTTGCTCACAGAACTGGCATCTCCCTGTATGCAGCCCCCATCATAGTGGTGCTTAATGTGTTCCAAGCCTGTGCTGAACCCTGTGTGATTGTGCCTTTAGTCCCCAGGCCAGCCCTGTGGGGCTGGTCTTCTTACCACCTGTATTTCACTGATGGGGAAACCGAGGCACAGACTGGTTAAGCAACTTACCCCAGTCACACAGTAATAGTAATAATAACAATTGTAACTCAACTTTTATAGTCAGGCCCCCAGTCCTGCAGGAGCCTGTCGCATCCTAATGACACGCTGAGGGGCTCTGGGTGCCGTTTCTCCTTAAAAGGGAAGAGGAAACTGCCTCTCAGCTTGAGGTCCCCCAGCGAAGCCGGCCTAGGAGCTCAGGTCTCCACTGCATTCCTTCAAGCAGGAGTGATGTTTAAAGGGCCGGGTGTCTCTGTCCCTGCCCCACAGGGTTCCAGGAGCTGAGGGTACAGCAGAAGGCAAGAAGCAAGGCCGCTGCCCATGGGGGAGGCAGGCATCTAGCAGGGGACAAAGGCCATAAGCAGAACAGTAAATACGCCATATGTCAGAAGAGTACCATTTGCTACAGAGGACAGGGAAGCTGAGGAGGGCCGGAAGGGAGGGGGTAGGACTTGAACATGGCGTGCTGGCAGGGTCTGGAGCTCATGGGGCTGCTGAGGGCTGTGGTGAGGACTTTGGGTTTGACTCTGACAAGCGGAAGCCAGGGTCGGGCTCTTAGCAGAGGACGGGCGTGACCGGGCTCCGGTGTTCGATGGTGGGTGTCAGGTGTTAAGCAGGTCCCTTTGGCTGTGTGGGTGGGGATAGACTTGGGGGTAAGGAGACAGTGAAGGTGGAGGCCAGGAGCTCAGGGAGGAGGTGACTTCATTCGTCCAATCAGGAAGTGACAGTGGCTGGACCAAAATGTGGGCAGTGGAGAGATGAGCGTTAGGCTCAGAATATAAAAACAACAATTGATCCTTGAACAATACCGGTTTGGACTGCATCGGTCCCCTTATACACGGATTTTTTCCCATAAATACAGTACAATGCTGTAAGTGTATTTTCTCTTCCTTAGGATTTTCTTCATAAAGTTTGCTTTTCTCTAGCTTACCTTAATGTAAGAATACAGCACGTAATACGTACAACGTACCAAATATGTGTTAATCAGCTCTTTATGTTATCAATAAGGCTTCCAGTCAACAGCAGGCTACCAGTAGTTAGGTCTTGGGGAATTACGAGTTATACCTGGATTTTCAGTCGTGTGGGGGGCTGGAGCTCTAACTCCCAAGTTGTTTAAGGGTCAGTTAGATACATATTTCCTCCTCAGGCTTTCTTTGCCTTTTATGACCTTGATTTTTTTTTTTTTTTTAAAGGGCAAAGAGAATGCACTTCAGAGATTTTGTTTGTCACAGAGAGAGAGGGAGCACAAGCAGGGGAAGAGGCAGAGAGAGAAGCAGGCTGCCGGCTGAGCAGGGAGCCCGATGTGGGACTCGATCCCAGGATCCCAGGATCATGACCTGAGCCGAAGGCAGTTGCTTAACCAACTAAGCCACCCAGGCGCCCCTAAGATTTTAAAGTAATCTCTACACCCAATGTGGGCCTCGAACCTACAACCCTGTGATCAAGAATCCCAGCCTCTGCCTACTGAGCAGCCAGGTGACCTGTGTAACTATTGTTATGGCAATGTTCATATCTTTCCAGAGCTGGCCCCCGGAAGCCATTGTAAGCCAGCTCCCGTGTGATTGGGAGTGTATGTCGGAGAGAGCATTTCCCTATAGATCGGATGGGCTGTGTGTGAGAGACGAGAGGAGGCCGGAGTTGGTTCTTTCAGCAAATATTTATTACCAGGGAGTAGGAATAAAACAGTGATCAAAGCAGTCAAGGGGCACCTGGGTGGCTCAGTGGGTTAAAGCCTCTGCCTTCGACTCGGGTCATGATCCCGGGGTCCTGGGATCGAGCCCCACATCGGGCTCTCTGCTCAGCGGGGAGCCTGCTTCTCCCTCTCTCTCTGCCTCTCTGCCGCCTCGTGATCTCTGTCGGTCAAATAAATAAGTAAAGTCTCTAAAAAAAAAAAAAAAAAAAAAAAGCAGTCAAAAGTTCCTGCTCTCGTGAACCTCGAGAATCGTGGTAGCAGCTCCTGGAGAGGCGGTAATTGGCGGAGGGAGGGGACAGCGTTGAGGAGGAGAATCCGGAACTGGGTTTTGGACAAGTTGAGCCGAGGTGGGGTAGACAGACGCCTCTTGTCACCGTCGCCCACTCCCTGTGTAATGGCTTCTTGCTTTCCTCACCCTTCAGCCAGGATAATGCAGACTCCACTGACCATCCCTGTGCCTGTGCTCCGGCTCCCCCGGGGCCCGGATGGCCTGAGCCGAGGCTTTGCCCCAGATGGACGCAGGGTCCCCCAGATGCCAGAGGGTCCCGAAACCCCAGAGTCTGCAGGAGTTCAAGAGTCTCGGGAATCCCAGGAACAGCAGGCACGAGCGGTGCTCCGGGAGCGCTACCTCCGCAGCCTGCTAGCCATGGTGGGTCACCAGGTGAGCTTCACACTGCACGAGGGCGTGCACGTGACTGCCCACTTCGGAGCCACCGACCTGGACGTGGCCAACTTCTACGTGTCACAGCTGCAGACGCCCATAGGTGTGCAGGCTGAGGCCCTGCTGCGGTGTAGTGACATTATTGCGTACACCTTCAAGCCATGAAGATGCTACTGGCTTCACCTTTTGGCTTTGGGCCTAGCCACGGGGCCCCAGCCCTGCCACATGGTCGTGGGGCACACAGAGTTTGGAACTCCCTTGGAATTCTGAGCCGACCTCCAAGCAACTTTGGCTTCTTGGGACCTCCAGGGTGTAGTCGGTAAAATTTTGCAACCTTAGTAGTTCTAGAGCCCATTGACATGAATGCTCTACCTCAAAGAACTCTAAACTCTAGAATAGGGCCTCTTGCCAGTTCCCGAAGATTGAGGATTGGGCATGGAAGGCAAATGGCAGAGTGGGAAATTGTTTCTTGAAGCTGCAAAGTTCAGCCACCCTGAAGATACTCCCCTCCTACTAAAGAACCAATTATCCCAGGAAGATTCGCCTCCTGTTTTTTTGTTTGTTTGTTTGTTTGTTTGTCTTTCTAAAGTGTAGCACACAGGGATGGAGCCAGATTTAGGAAGTGGAAGGGTGGCTAGGCTAGCCAAGGTCTGAATCCGGCGGATCTGGGCCAAGAAGAGGATACATCACGGGGCTGAGAGGAACTCGGATGAAGGCGGAGATTGGCTTGGTCCGGGAATGGCTGCAACTACCCGAAAGCAGGGTTTGGGACATTTGGACGCGATTTCCTTTTCGGGTAGGCGGGAGTGTTCCCAGGCAGGGGCGTGGCTCGCACCAGGTTACCTGGTCTCCTGGCCCTGGAGCGGTGTGGACCTCACTCTAGAGACGGCTTCCCCGTCCTCTCCGGAAGGCGTCGGACCCTGTGCGGCGGCGCCACTGAGGCCAGGCTGAGGACTAGTGCTTGGGGTGAAGCTTCACCCTCTTTCTGTGTCGCTCCAGCTGTGTGGCCATCGGGATCATTCGCTGCCCTTATCCCCGTCACTAGCGTCTTTCAGCACATTCGCTTTAAAAAAGTAATTGCAGCCCCCTCTGTAGTCCCATCAACTTTAGAATGCAAGCGAAGATCCCATTAAATAAAGAGATTCGCTTTGTTCGTCTGCAGTCGCGAAAGTGCGGCGACTGAAGATGCTGAAGGGGGCAGGTGGAGAGCCTCAGCTCCCATAGGTCCGTTCGCGACGCCGCCTCCAGCGAGTCCGCGGACTAGCTCTCTAGTTGCCTTGGCAACGACGTCGCTCGCTCCTCCCCGAATCCCCCCTCTCTTTTAGTCTTAGCTCCGCCCCCACCGTCGGACTTGCTAGGAAAGCCTCGCGAAAGTGCGGAGGCGAATATTAAGTGATTGAATTGAGGGGAGGTCGGGGGCCTGGGCTCTCGCCCGTTCGCTCCGTACTTGGTGATCTCCCCGCTCCATAGCCCGATTATTTTCGTTGGCAGATTCGTCTCTTGATTTTGGAATTTCTTTCCTCTTCAATTTTGTTGTTGTTTTTTAAAATCAGGACTGTGATCCTCCTCATGGGCTCATATTTATTTTAGTCTTTTAATTTAAATTGTATTTCACGCAACGAATACAGAGAACTATTGATGAAATTGCTGTTTGCAAATGGAGGCCTGGAGAATAAGTAGCAAAGAGGCACAGGTTTCGTCTCCAGGCAGAGGATACGTCTGTCAGCATCCATATATTCAGTACGCCTGATATCGCTTTTCCTTTCAAGTTCTCTGTCCCTATGCTTCTCTCCCTATCAGCTGGCCTAGCCCCGCCAAGCAGATGTTTTTATTTTTATCAACTCCATTCCCCGCTCCGTGACCCGAGCTCGTGACGAATGTGTGCGAGCGTGAACGTTAGATATCTAGATTGAGGCGGGGAGGCGGGGTGGAGGCGGTTCAGGTTCGCGCTTGCGCGCTGCTCCGGGAGACGGCGTCCATCTCGCCCCGCCCCTCGTATTCTGCAGTTCCGGCTCTGCCGATTCACTGCTCACGTTTCTTTTTCCCGTGGCTCTTTCTGCCTCTTGTTACCCGTTTCAGCAACCCGCGAGACAATCCTACCTGCAGATAGCTTAAATTGATTTTCCGCTTTCCTAAGTCCGCGACGTGCGCACCGGCTCTTAACGAAAGTGCGGCCGCGAACGAGCAGGCGCGCGCGAGGCTCGGGGGAGGCGCGCTCGAGCTCCCGGCGGCGACGACTACGACGACCAGGAGAGCGGTCGGAGGCGGCGCCTGAAGCAGCGGCGGAGCCCATGCCCCGGGACGGCGGGCGGGCCCGGAGACACAAGCCCGGGGTCCGGGACATGTCCCCGGGGCCTCCGTGAGGAGGCGGCGGCGGCGGCGGCGGCGGCGATGGAGATCCCGCCGCAGGAGGCGCCGCCCGGGCCGGGCGCGGACGGCGACGCCGAGGAGGCCCCCGCCGAGGCCCGATCTCCCAGCCCCGCATCGTCCCCCGCCGACGGGCGCCTCAAGGCTGCGGCTAAGCGCGTCACGTTCCCCTCCGACGAGGATATCGTGTCCGGAGCGGTGGAACCCAAAGACCCCTGGAGACATGGTAGCTACCGCCAGGGCGCGGGGGCGGGCTCGTGGCGGACTGGAGTCAGTGCAGCACCCGGCACGGAGGTGGTGCTCATTAAATTGCACCTAACGATGATTTAAGGGGACTGTCGTCAGTTTAGAGCTGCAGGATGTTAGAGACGCGGTGCCTTTTGGGTTGGGAAGGTGAAAAGTAGCTGGGTTTTTTTTTGTCCCCCTGCACCCCCCCTTCTCCAACGCCGAAGATGGTCGTTTTAGGAATTAAGACGATAAGCAATTAAAGTTTGGAGGCATGGGAGATTGGTAGGGCGGTAGTGTTTGAGTTCCTAACCACCCCCCCCCCCGCCGCGCCCCAACAGCGATAGAGAGAGCAGCCAGCGAGGGAAGAATGGGTCAGCATTGGCGTTGAAAGGCCAAGTGGAGTTTGATGGGCTCATAGGGATGGAAAGAGGTTAAGTTGCTGGTGTGCAAACCTTGGCACAAGAGGTAGTCCTGTTGCTCACTTTTTTGGCTGAAAGGAGGAAGAGGAATAAACCAGCCTGGCCTATGGCTGCGGAGGAGCTGGTAAATCCTGGGGTTGGGAAAAGGGAGTCAGGGTAAACAAACTCCCAGGAAAGGAGCAGAGGGGATGGTCACTTAGGAGGTGGGTGAGATAGTCAGAGGAGGTGTTAGATCTTGACATTAAAAAGAAAAGTTACTGCAGGCCTCCTTTTCTTTTCCCCAATAGGGAAGCAAAGCAGTATCAGTCATCAAGGAGCTTTGGGGCTTGGGTATAGAAGGGTCTCTTTAAAAAAAATTTTTTTTTTTCCTGAGAAAGAGTTGGGGAATTGGTCGCCAGAAGGTGAGTGCCTGAAGAAGTTTGCTGGCTTGAGGTGTTTGGAGAGGGAGCAGGTCGGCAGATCTGGGTCCCCTGAAGGTCAGATTTGTGTTGGAGCTGAAAGGGCAAGTCAAGAAGTGTGTGTGTTTTACCTATAGGGCCAAAGTTGGAGAGGCACTCAGTAGATGGGTGCCCCCATTGAGTCTGTTTCTGTGCTGGAGAGATCTGTCTTGCCAGGGTGGAGCTCACGAAGAGAGGGGTCACACATTGGTCCTGGCTCAGTAGAAGTTGGTCACTTGAAAAGTGACTTGGCCCCAGGAAAGAGGCAGCACTATTGCTAGTCTGTGCGGTGGAGAAATTGTGGCTTTTTTGTGAGAGTGGGAAACATGGTAACTGGAAGCTGAGCACATAGGTAGTCTGTCATAAGTGCCAGTTTGGCGAGTTCTCATTAAAGAGGCAATTTATGATTGTTGGCGTCGAGAGCTAGCCACATTTGGGCCCTGGGCTCTGGATGGATGTCACTTTTGGGTTGGAGGACTTGGGCTGGGGAGGGCAAGAGTCATACAGGGTCCTGGCCATAGCATGGTACCCAGTTCTGGGATTTGAGAGCGGGAGGAGAGAAAGACCTGGCTAAGCTGAGTAGGATGGTGGAGAGCGGACGTTCCAGGTCAGATCCTGACTCCCGTTTACCCACTTCGTGACCTCAGGCTGCTTGTCTTAACTCCTCGGAGTCTCAGTTTTTCCTGACTTCACAGTCAGGAAGTGGGTGGTAATACTCCTCCGAAGGCTTTAAGGGAGGGCTAAATACGGGTGTGTATGAGAAGTAATTGGCCAGGATGAGCTTTCGTGAAGTTGCAGTTATTGTTGGTCATTTTCAGGGTGATGTTGGTGATATTAGTCATTTTAGGGGCCCGTCTAGAGGGGTCCGCTCATATGCTTGGGACCTGGATGTTTCTGCTTCCCAAGCCTCAGGAGAGGGACATAGATGGTGGTCAGTTGTGTGCCTGGGGCAAGCAGAAGGGAAGAGCGGTTTGTGGGCTGGAGGGCCATGGTGGGGGCAGGGGGAGAGTTGGCACAGGGTCGGGGGCAGGGCTGGGGGCAAGTTTCTGGTGTGCAGCTTCCCAGAAGAGGAACAGCTGTGTGTAACCAGCTGTTTGATTTTGAGTAAGCTGTTTTTCCTCCCTGCGCCTCCTGTTTCTTTCTCTGCAAATGGAGGTGCTAATTTCTACCGCCGGGTAGTTGTGAGGATTAAATAAAATAGTCCTTGTAAATTCTTGCCACAGAAATAGCAGCTGCTGTTACCCAGGCGGTGAAGGAGTTTGAGGGGAAGGAAGAATGTCAAGAAAGAGGGGTCCTTGGAGTCTGGCTGGGAGGAGCTGAGGGGACAGTTGCTGATTGGTCTTCCCGGGTAGGGGGAGGTGGTAACAGCTTACAGGCTGGGGGAGTCTCGCCTTTCTGGAAATTTAAAGAGGGACAGCAGGGACTGGTCCGGAGGAGTCCGTGGGTCTGAGTTAGAGCGGTGATGACACGGAGAAGTTGAGAAATCAGTTTCCGGGCTGGCAGAGTGGGTCTCTCTTGGCTCTGGAGAGGGGCTGGGGCTTGGCCTGGCAGTGAAGGAGTTGGGGGATCCTGGTCCCCAAACAGGGGAGGGATCATGGGTGACGTTGGTGAATTTAGACAGGGGGATTTGCAGGACAGGGCATTGGAAGGCTTGTCAATGCCAAGGGGGCAGGTGGCTAGCCTCTGTGCTTGGGGAGGACAGTGAGTTTCTGCCTGGGTTGGGACGAGGGAAGGTGGAGTCCTGCCAGGGACAGAAAGTTGGGCCAAGGGGGTTACCTGGTTGGGAGGCCAAAGGGTCTTCACTGGGGCCTGCAGGGAGGACTTAGCTGGGCTTAGAGGAGGGGTGGGAGATATGTTGGACTTGGTCTTCAAGCTGTGGGAAAGCACAGGGGTGTCATTTGACCTGTGGACCTGGTGGGAAGGTCACTGATGGCACCTCCATCAGTGGAGGTGGAGGAGTCACTGTGGGGCCTGCTGCGGGGATGTGACCCCGAGGTCGAGGGTGCAGGGAGAGTTGGCTGGTCTCATGGGAGAGAGGTCACTCGGAAGCTGCTCTTCCATCGTAGAGATGGGGAAGTTGCTTGAG